AAGGTAGATCGATAAGTTTTGTGAAATGATTTTTTATTGTTTCCTTAGTGTTTAGGCTATTCATGTAATACGTGTATGTGAAATAAATTCATAGGTTTGGATTCAGGTAGTTCTTGTGATTGGGTCTTAGTAGACGTCGCTTGTGCGTTGTTCTTGTGTTGGCCACCAATAAAGTGTGATATCCGTCTGACCCTTTTAAACTTGTTAGATGTTCATAAGGGTCGAGGTTTGCTCTAGGCAATGAATAATTTCTCCTAAAAAAGGGGAATAATAAGAGCATGCGTTATTTTTCTTTTCATTTGTAATTTTACTGTTATGAAATATATAATGGAGAAATAATGAACAAAATACGACATAACAGGATTTTGTACAATGAACAAAGATGAATATAAAACAACTCACAAGTCACAACTAAAGACAAGAAAAAACTCCAGTACTTGTGTTGTTTTACAAGATCACGAGCCCGTAACCAGCTCCCTTTGAAATAACTTCAAATTCTTTATGTTATTTTCCTTTCCTGTAACATTTGGCATTTGCCTTTGGTAATGACATGATAGTACCCTTTGTTAAAAAAACAAAAAAACTATATGCTCACAAAATTGGAAGAATGAGACCGATTGAATAGTAGTTGGCTACCCAACCAAAGACACACTACAGTTAGTTTGCGCGTGGGCCGTGGCCCCTCGATCCACCTTGCTAGCTACTAGCTGGGTAGTTAGTTAGGAACGAGGCACATACAATTAATTAAGCTAAGTCACAACGTACAAAGAACCATAGGCAGCAGCAGCACAGCAACTTCCTTAGCTTCATCTCGTCGATCTCAAACCCTCCTGAGTCCTCATGACCCGCCGCCGTGGCCCACTTGATACGTACTAACTCCTGACGGCCGTTCATTCTGCAGTGCTCCACCTCTCTTGCTGTTCTTCCAATGGGCCGTCTGGGTCGGGCCGGTCAAGTCCATGTCAGCCCCAACCCCATCATCAAGCAGCCAGTGGGGTCGGACCGTAGTTAATGTGAGAGAAGAACTGGACCATTGGCTAGCTTAGCTAGCTAGATCCAACCGGGCTTTTCTTTTCTTTTCTTTTATTTCTGTAACAGCCTGTTTGGATGGACACAAAACTCAGGAATTGGAATTCCATTTCCAATTCTATTTCACTGTTTCATGTTTGGAATGGTAAGAAGGTTGGGAAATGAATTCCATTTGACTAAAATATTGGAAATTAGAATTCCTATCAAAAGTGATAGGAATTGGGTTTATGGAGATGGAATTAGTGGGACCCATTCATATTTATTATTATTTTATAATTCCACTATCTTATTTCTCTCTTTCTCTCTCATCCATATTTCATTTCCCAAGATAAAAAAATCTACTAAATCATTAATAATTGTTAAAGAATACAATTCATTTCCATAGTTGTTGGAATTATGCCAAACACAAATATTGGAAATGGAATTCCATAAAAATTAGAATTGGGAATGGAAATCCATTTCCATTTCTTATGGAATTGTATCCAAACAGGCTGTAAGGGAATTGTTAATAGCTGGGTGGTGCTCTAGATGGACTGCAGTGGGTGAGGTGGGGATCATTACATTAATGACGAGAGCTATGGGTACTGCATGCCGTACGGTACGGGTCAGCCGTACGGTACGGGTCAACCGTACGCTACGGTACCGTGCTCTCTAATAACAATGGCTGGCGCCATGCGGAAAGAAAAAGATGTAATTAGAGAGGACTACAGGGGGCGGTTGTGGTTTCAATTTTTAACTAGCTTAGCTAGGGACATTTATGACGACGGTGATTTCCACGATTTGCTGTCTCTTTCCTTCCGCTTAGCTAAGCTGCCACCGTCGGTCGGTCGGTCGGTCGGTCAGGCTTAATTATGTGATTTTAAGATTTGGACCCGTTTTTGGGTACGGTGGTCTCCCTCCGCCGGTACTAAATTACCACATGGGATGGGATGGGAGAGTGCTATTGCTTGATGTATTGATTTGCTGTCAACGTGTACGTAGCATTTTGGCAAGTTCGAGTTTTCTGTAGAGGGTGATATTCGGACGTTCTTGCCTCGTAACTGAGTTTCTTTTATTACCATTAATTGCTTCTTTCCTTGTTAGTAGTGACTAGTCCTTTGATTGTGATGAGAGGTTTTATTTGGTTGTTGTAGAAAGCGATATACGCGCGGTCGGTTATAAAGCACGAGCAAGAATCGAAAAAGCAGGAAAGAGACAAACCGCTACATCGAACTTCGTGATTCTTAATTTATAAGCACAATCACAACGTGTGGGGGAGGGAGATAGGATAGTATAACAACAGGTTGGATACAAAATATAAACATCGATTTATTACAAATTTTCGCCACCTCAAATCTGGAAGTTCTTACCACCTCAAGACACCATCGAGGAGAATATTTGATACAAATCGGAACATTCCTTTTATTTTTGTGTAGGTGATCTCCATGTCGGCTTCCTCACTCCAATTAAAGTGATGAGAGTATCGATGAATGGTCTCACTAATAGTAATAGGCGGGGCAAGCAACTTGACAATATTTATTATAAACTGATCGATAATATATAGTTGAATTATTGTGTTTGGTCTCTGAGTAAACGTCACGATGCGACCGGTATATATATATATATTTTATACTCCGATGGATGAGTCAGAGTGGAATTTTTGGTGGAAACAATGAGCTATCCGTCCAAACTCTCCGTACTAAGTACAAAGCATTCCAAGGCCCACGCTTTACCTTTTTTTTATATATATAGATATCGATCCTTTACTATCCAGCCGGCCAAATTTGGCTTCTCTGCTTCCGGCGACCCCACTGGCTTGGAACCTACCAGCCCGCCGTGGTCACGAAACGACATTTGAACATGTTTTGGGATGTCGAAAGCAAATTAAAGGCGGATAAATATCAGAGCGAGTAAAATTATAATATATATGTGCATGAAATGGAAAGGTGGCCCACTTGCTAATTGCTATACCGTTGTCTGTGTGTGGTATTCGGATTCTCAGTCGACTTCTCCACTTTACACAGAGAGAGAGAGAGAGAGAGAGAGAGAGAGAGAGAGAGAGAGAGAGAGAGAGAGAGAGAGAGAGAGAGAGAGAGAGAGTCAACAATGGGGCAACCCTCGAGCAGAAATTGGCGACTTTTGAAGTGGAAAGGTAAAGCCAATTACTTAAAAGGATTATTCTTTCATTATTCTGATTATTATCGTTATCAACTTATCATCATCGCTACCACCATCGTCTTCCTTTTGTTCCAACACTTTATATCTCCTCGTCGGCCGTGCTTGCCTTTCCGTTTTGTTTAGTAGATATAACTAATCAATCTCCCCTCCTTTCTTATCTTTGCTTTCCAGTGCATATGGAAGCAGCATACCTTTTTATCTCTTCATCTTGTTATGGAAAATTATTGTCCAACAGTAAAACTAGAGCAAATATCGGCACAAAACAAATGGAGTCTTTTCAAGGAAAACAAAAAGTTCACAACCGCAAAGGTAAAGAACTTTGATGGGCCGAATCGCAACCAATTTTACACTCTTATGGATCGGGGACTCCCAATCGCCAAGATTTTTATTATTGGATCTGTTTGTAAGCCCATAGGTTCATTAAGCTGGATGGCCCAAGCAAAGATAAGAATAAAGGATATATGCGTGTTAGATGTTATCCACAGTGTTATTTTAATTGGGCTGGGTTCCAGCCAGGTATTTGACTAGAAAAGGAGGCCAAATTTCCTACAATTGGGCAATAGAGAAACGTTGGAGATGGGCCTGGATCGATCGAGTTATTAAGGGCTTCATACCATAACTGACCTGATCGAATTGATAGATCGTTGCAAACAGTTATATTTTGCAAGAACAGAGGCAAAAACAGAGGATCACCTCACCCTTCTGTTTTGATCCCTACAAAACAATCCTCCAGGTAAAGAGAGAAAGATGGTACGTTCCTGCCTGGTAGTTGATGCTCCTGGATGTACATCTTCTCCGTTGCTTACAGTAGCTAGATCCTAGCTTGCTTGTCAATTAATGGATTAGAGGAAGGAAACAGTTATGATTTACAGAGCCTCTGTTTTTAGAGAAGAAAACCCAGCAATGGCAGACACAGGGGAACCACTTCGGAGTTCGGACCCCATGGAAGAAGACGGAGAAGAAGAGTTTAGGCCATTGCTTTCTCCTTCTGCGCTGTCTCTCTCCCTCTCTCCCACCGAATCTGTACTTTGGTGATTAACTTAGTCAATTCAATTCAATACTACAAATGCTTGCCGCAGAACAGAATCGACCCTTCAAGTTCAAGATCGGAGGTTGCTACTAGCTAGACACGAAGGACGATGGATCAATGAATTCGGCGGACATTCATTACTTACTTTATAGCAAGGGGATACATTCAACCTTCCCAATGTACCAAAAGAATGGAAGAGTCAAACCCCACGTGTCCTTTTCTGGGGCCCTTCCCACCTTGCCTGAATCAAGATAACGAGGGACCAAAGTTTTGTTCTCCGTACACCCTCCTCCTCCTCCTCGAGCAAAGTCAAGTCTTCTTATTAGTAGCAGGTAATTTTTCAATTGATGCAACTCTCCTCCCAGTTGATAGTTTCGTGGATTTTTAATCAATTTTCAACCACAAACCAATTTCCACAGAGAAGAACAGAGCGTCGCATTGTGCGACAATGACGCAGGCATCATGGCAGGTGTACGCATGCAATTAATGGGCCCCCGATCCGCTTACGAGGACGTTGAATTTTCTAACCTAATGAAACCATGCTGATGGCTCCTGGTCAGCCGACGAGATTGATTGAAGTTGGGGGAATCAATTGGGCTCCGGGAGCGTGTTTTATAATTAACCCACCATTACAAGATGATGATGATAATAATATAATTAAGCGCCATTGGACCAATGCTTTCACCTTTCAGCCATCTCGAGCTCTTTTATTTCTGAACCTTCCCCAAGTTGACACTGTAGTGTAGTCACGACTTTTCAAAGCACTAGCATTAGTTTTTTATTACCTTATATAATAATATCTCTATTTCTCTATCACAGTTGAATATAACAAGTCAAAACAGCCATCCTTCAGTTTTGGCTAACATTGAATCCCCCTGTTCCCTCCTCTCACTCTGCCATCTAATTATCTCTGAGCCGTCGCCGGGAGAAATACTCTATGTCGATTGCGTCTCCGTATTCAGCTGCTGCACTAGTCGTCGCCGTTCTTTATGCTGTTTCCATCGCCGGTGTCGTCCAAGTAGCACTTGCCCAGAATCGGACTCGTGCTACCACTGATCCCGACGAAGGTAGGCGCCCTTCTTCCCCTTCTCTGCAGTTATAATTCCCCTGTCTTCTGCTCTGTCGCTATATATTTAGAAATTGGTTCTCAACCTTCCGATCAAGCTTTCACCGGTCATCTGAGATCTGTAAAATCGGTTTCGTTCGTAATTATGAAAAAGTGGAGATGGCAGCAAGTGGACGATTATTGTTTGTGGCAGCCTGGCGGCTGCTCCCTTGGTCGGAGAGACGGTGGTCGGCTCGCTATTAAATTAAATACAATAGCTGAGTCATGGACACGTGGCGGCTCGTCGCTTTCTCGTTGCCGTTGACGGCCTCGGTCTCCTGAGCGATTGGGCCATTGTCTTTGTGGGCTATTCGTAATGGGCCCTAACGATTGTTAGTTTGAGTGGCCATTCGTGTAGCTCACACCAAGGTTTTCCGCGGGAACTATAATGGAGTCTATATATTGACATCTTTGCTAGCTAGGGAAAGGAATTTCGTTCTCATTCAGTTGGGGCTTTGCAATTGTAATGCAGCAAGAGCATTGAACGCCATTTTCGAGAGATGGGGAATCGAAGCGCAACCGGGGCAATGGAACATAAGCGGCGAGCTCTGCAGTGGATCGGCGCTGGGTGCAAGCCCCACCATCGACGAGCAAGCTTTCAACCCTTTCATCAAATGCGACTGCACTTTCAATTCCTCCACCGTCTGCCGCATCACCGCCCTGTTTGTACCCACCTCTTTGTTCCCTCTTTTTTTTGGGGGGGTTGCTCTATAAAGTAATCATCTTTGATGTTGGTTTGTGTTCGCAATTTGCAGGAAAGTATCGTCTATGGATATTGCTGGTCCAATCCCTGATGAGCTGTGGAGTCTCACCTTGCTCACCAATCTGTAAAGATCTCCTACCAATTCATCACCTTAAATGATCCAATTCTTCATCTTTTTGTTTCCCAGTTCAGTTGGTGGCTCAATTTTTTTTCTTCTGAATGAGGTGTTTGGTTTTGTTTTGATGATATGAAATTAGGAACTTGGGTCTGAATTTCCTGTCTGGAACCTTGTCTCCATCCATTGGCAATTTGACGCGTATGCAGTGGCTGTAAGTTTGTTGATATGCACTTTGTTGTCAGTTAACTTGAAGAGAGAGTTTTCCTTTTCCTAACTCTGAAATGTTTATGTTCTCTAGGAATTTGGCCACTAATCAATTCACCGGGCCTGTGCCTAGGGAGATTGGGTTGCTTACTGATTTAAGATCATTGTAAGTTGTGCTCTTCTGCTTCTTGTTACTCAAAATGGATTAAGTTGCAAGCAATGCTTGATCATTTGCTTACTGATTTGGTTATCTGGTATAGTGGTTTCGGGTCAAACAACTTCACAGGTTCCTTGCCGTCTGAGCTGGGGACTTTGTCAAGGCTTCAACAAATGTGAGTCATGCTACTTCTTTGCTAGAAATGTTGAATGAATGATTATGAGATGGCCATGGAACTAAAACTACTTGTTACTACATTCAAAGGTATTTTGATAGTGCTGGAGTTAGCGGCCCAATTCCTTCGACGTTTGCTAATTTAACCAACATGGAGACTGTGTAAGTGCATTGTTGTGGGTGGTTATTCCTTTCCCTACAATTCTTCAAATTCTCCATTTCATCTCAGTTTTGCTGATGGTATCATATCATTTGTTTGTTCTTTTCAGATGGGGATCAGATAATGCTCTTACAGGCCCTATTCCTAGTTTCATAGGGACTTGGAGAAGGCTAACAACTTTGTGAGTTACCCTCATTACTATCATCATCATCATTTCTCCAATACTCAATTTATCTTGAACTCATTTTGCCATGATTGTAGACGGTTTGAAGGAAACTCGTTTAGCGGTCCAATACCATCATCCTTCTCCAACTTAACCAATTTGACAGAGTTGTAAGTTTGCCTATACCTCCCTATCTCGACCTAGCTTAGTTTCTGTGTTCACCAATGGCACTAGCAATCTAATCTTTGCACGAACGCAGACGGATAGGTGGTATTACGAATGGAACCTCTTCTCTGGGATTCATTAGGGGCTTGACTTCCCTATCCACCTTGTAAGCTTTTGTTCGTCTCAACTCTTGTCTTTCTTCAGTTCTCTTATTTAACAAATGAAGTGATCTGTTATAATGTCTCCTGCAGGGTCCTGAGGGACAGTAGTATAGCTGGTACAATTCCATCCGACATATGGGGGGACTATCCGAATTTGGGATTTCTGTAAGTTACTCCCATTGGCAAAGCCAGAGTCTTACTGAAAGAACAAACAAAGTTACTTACCATGTGCTTCCATTGATCGATTTTGTAGGGACTTGAGCTTCAATCGTCTCACTGGAACAATCCCAGCCACAGTTTTCAATATGAGCTCTCTCACTTTCTTGTAATAACTATTAACTCTTTACGTGAACCTTGTTACTTCTTCATGAACTTTCAGATTGAAATTTGTTTGCTACTTTCATGTGTAGGTTTCTTGGGAATAACAGCTTGAATGGTACTCTTCCTGCTCAGAAAAGTGCTTCACTTGTCAATATGTAAGTAACCTGAACAAAGCCCAATGGCAAGGATTACACTAACCTCTTAGAGCCATCATTAACTTGAAAGCTTCCAACTTTTGACCTGTCCCTTGTTAGCTGATACTTTTGAGCCCTCCTATCCAACATTTTATGTTAAGCTTGATTTTTTCCTTTGCCCACGGTATTGATTGAGCTTTGGTAATTTTTGGTGGCAGCGATGTTTCATACAATAACATAGGAGGGCCCTTGCCTTCTTGGATAAATGGAAGAAATCTTCAGCTGTAAGTTGTTTAGTTTAGACAGGCGTCAGATCCTTATTACCAACTCAATACACAGTACAATGCATATGAGAATCTACTTCTCAAGTTGGCATCTTTATGATATCTTTGCAGGAACATAGTATTCAACAACTTCACAATAGATCCTTCAAACACTAATGGCCTGCCTACCGGGATTAACTGTCTTCAACAAGGATTCCCCTGCAACAGAAATAGTCCAATATGTAAGTGCCATTAAAATGAAACGTCTTGTTTCAAAATTAGGTATATTCTAATACTTTCCCTTTTGCGACATACAGATTCCCAATTTTCAGTGAAGTGTGGTGGTCCAGCCATTACAACCGCCAGTCCTCGGCTAACCTTCGAAAGGGACAATGAGACTCTTGGTCCAGCAACATATTTCGTGACCCCAACAAACAGATGGGGAGTCAGCAACGTTGGCTTGTTTGCAGGAAACAACAATCCTCAGTACACATCATTTTCTTCCTCTCAGTTCACCAACACTCTAGACTCGGAGCTGTTTCAGACGGCACGTCTCTCTGCTTCATCTCTGAGGTACTATGGCATGGGGCTTGAGAATGGCAACTACAGCGTCACACTTCAGTTTGCTGAGACTGCCATTGAGAATGGTAACACTTGGAGGAGTCTCGGAAGAAGGATGTTTGATGTCTATATCCAGGTGACTCTTTTTCTTCTGTATGTACTAAAGGAAATGGCTGGCTATGAGTTTTTCTGATACTAACAAATGTATTGTTTTTCATTTCCAGGGAACTCGTGTTTTGAGGGATTTCGACATAAGAAGTGAGGCAGGAGGAGTCTCGACCCGGGCTGTTCAGAGACAGTTTACTGTCCGGGTTTCGGAGAATTACATGGACATCCATTTGTACTGGGCCGGAAAGGGTACTTGTTGCATTCCTGCACAAGGTGTATATGGCCCTTCTATTTCAGCAATCAGTGCTCTCCCAGGTAAATATATGCCGAAAGCTTGGTTCTTTAAGCAACAAAGGATATAGCAGGTTGCTAAATTATGAATTATAAATTCTAAATGCAGATTTCGTACCAACTGTTAGCGACAATCCTCCACGCACAGACAGTGGTGGAAATGACAACAAGACAGGGATGATCGTTGGGATTATCATAGGTGTCTTGGTTCCATGCTCGATATTAGCTATTGTAATGATCATTATTATTCGGAGAAAGAGAAGACAAAGAGCCTTCGAAGATGAAGGTAATCAAACCCCGAAAATATCCACCTACCCAGTAGCCATGCACATCAAGTTAGGTACTTTTTTTACTTCAAAGGGTGTAGCGGAGGTGTTTGAATTTTGTTTGTTTTTTTCTGTTTGTAATTGCAGAGCTCCAAGGGATTGATACCAGACCTTACACTTTCAGTTACGCCGAGCTGCGGGGGGCCACTCAAGACTTCAGTCCTTCTAACAAGCTTGGAGAAGGAGGATTTGGACCCGTTTACATGGTACACGATTGTATATCACAAGCAAATCAGCTATTCATACATGTTGCCATTGATTAATTTCTTATAAATCAACAGGGAAAGCTTGATGACGGTAGAGTAATTGCAGTGAAGCAGTTGTCAGTTCAATCTCACCAAGGAAAGAGCCAGTTCATCACAGAGATTGCCACCATATCTGCTGTACAGCATCGTAACCTTGTGAAGCTGTACGGATGCTGCATTGAGGGAGAAAACAGGCTTCTCGTCTATGAATATCTCGAGAACAAAAGTCTTGACAAAGCACTCTTTGGTATCGAACACATAACTCATAGCCCTTTCTACTTTACTCTATCTAGTGCTCAAACCCTCTTGCATACTTAAGTAAGTGGTTTGTATGGTGCAGGCGAAAAAGGCCTGAACCTCAACTGGCTGACACGTTACGAGGTCTGCTTGGGAGTCGCGAGGGGTCTAGCATATCTTCATGAAGAGTCAAGGCTGAGAATCGTGCATAGAGACGTGAAAGCCAGCAATATCTTGCTTGATTCCGAGCTGGTCCCCAAGATCTCTGATTTTGGGTTGGCTAAGCTCTATGATGATAAGAAGACTCACATCAGCACCCGTGTCGCCGGAACAATGTACGAAATTACCCTGAAAGAATTTCGGTTCGTTGCTTCGTAATCCGATGTTTGTTTATCTGTCACTGAAGTTCCATGATTGTTTGATTGCAGAGGATATCTAGCTCCTGAATACGCCATGCGTGGACACCTTACTGAGAAAGCTGATGTCTTTGCCTTTGGAGTGGTAGCTCTGGAGGTTGTAAGCGGGAGGCCTAATTCAGACCCAACCTTGGATGAAGAAAAGATGTATCTTCTTGAATGGGTATGGCTTATTACATTAAGATTTGGTGTGCTATCGGTCTTGTTTCTTTCATCTGTAGAGCCATAGATTTTACTAGTGTTTTTGTTGGAGCTATTCGTCTGACTTATCCCTATTTTCAGGCCTGGTACCTACACGAAAACAACCGGGAAGTAGAGCTGGCCGATTCCAGGCTCTCCGAGTTCGACGAAGAAGAACTGAAACGCTTCGTAGGAATCGCTCTACTCTGCACGCAAGCTTCCCCTTCGCTGAGGCCATCGATGTCCCGGGTTGTGGCAATGCTATCAGGCGACATTGAAGTGAGCACAGTTACATCTAGGCCCGGATATTTGACCGATTGGAGGTACGACGATACGACTGGCAGCTTCATGAGCGACATTGCTACCAAAGGTACTACAGATACCAGCCATTACACTTCATCCACGAGCACATCCATGGTGGCCGATTCAGAGGTTTCTCCGCACAATGCCTCGAAGCCCATGCTTCATGGGCTCATTGGAGAAGGTCGATAGATAGACTGATACACAGATCACAAGCACATACGAGGCATAATGTTTGAGGATCTTCAGTTGCACAATTCAGAAACTCTTTGTCGCATTCTTGTACATGTGTTAACTCATTGTCCGATTTGAAGCTAAAGGGAGGATTTTATCCCTTGCTGTAATTAGAAGATTGTATGCTTGAATATTACCACGATTTGTTTTTCTCATTTGTTAATAATTGATACGCGGCATAAAACAAGCAGGAATTTGATGATGGAATGAATGACTGTGTTGTCAACTTGAAAGCTGTTAATGTAAGATTAGCTCATCATCTTATTACAGGATCCTTCCAAGCCATTACACAAAATAATACGCAGAACAGAGCATTCCGCTGCAACCAATCATCCCCCCTTTACCCATAAATTCCTCGAACCATCCTTCCCAAAAAATGAAACAAATCATCCCAATAAAACAAAAGGAAAAACAGAGCATTCTCCAAAACAGGAGGGAAATCGGGGAGAAATCCCTAAGCCAATTATAATCTAGCTGCACAATATTACTCTAGTTAAACCGAGAACTAGGCACGAAACGGTAAAGAAAAACAGAGTCGCAAAATCCCTCGCAGACCACTTCTTCACGGCCTTGGATTCCACCCTCAAGCTCTTCGCCCTCCTCAAAGCATCCACTTCCTTCAACAGATCAAATTCCAGACCTTTCTTCTTCAACTCCTCGACGCACTTCGCCAGCAGCTTCCCGTCTTCCTTCTCCCTCTCCAGAAGCTTCTCCATGTGGGATTCCACATCCGTCTTGTACCGAACCGCCCACACGATCCCCATCGAGCAGAGCAGTGAAGAGAGCGAGGGGATCCAGGATCGCTTACACGAGGCAGAAGAAGAGGAAACAGAAGAAGCGTGGTTGAAGAGGAGAAGCAAGGAAATGGAGTGGAAAAGGAAGAAGAAGACGTATAGCTGCGTGATTTCCCGGCGAACAGAGTCAATCTGGGACTCCTTGAAAGAGACTCTGTTCAGGATCAGTTCTTCCTCCTTCAGCCACTGCTTCAGTAAGAGCTTGTGGGTCGGGGTTTCCGCAATTTGGTGGAGCGGGTGCTGCGGCTTCGGAACCATGATCGATGATGATGACGACGATGGTAGGTTTTCACTGTTTTCTGCCATGGAAAGATTGGATTTATGTGGGGATTGGAAGCGCAGAAAGAGAGATAGAAACAGAGAGTGAAGGGTTCCGCTTTCTGTGGGTGGTTTTGAACGTTTTGGGCGGGTTTTGAGATCTGTTTCCCAACGGTCAAATTGGGGGGAAATTTAAATTGTTTATTCTATTTTGATTGGTTGGGAGATTAATTAACTAATTAAGAAAAGGTAGAGAGAAACAGGGAGCGTCTCGGTGTAGCCACGTCATTTGGTTGGCTCAACCCGCAACGGTCTTCTTTCGGTAAAGGAGAATTTAATGGGGGAAGGCCCATTGGATTGGAGTCCATATGTTTTCTTGCAGTGGTAGGCCAGATGGACGTCACTGCTGATTTTAGTTCAAAGCCCACTTGTTTAGCTCACCTAACAACTGTCCCGTTGAAATTTTGATCAGGCTGCAGTTAATTTTTTTTTTCTCATTTCTTTTAGATAAAAAAAAAAATTAGTTTATTATCTTGTTGGCTAAACCGTAGCGTCGGCGGTCCAACTAAAAAAAATTTCTACTGAAATTCAAGTTGATAGATCATGACAAGAACAATTGAATCACGATATAAATATATAATAATATCTCATCACTGACTTATCTAATACAGTTATACAATCCTTGGTTTGTTTCTTTTTAATTTATTGTTGTTTGGTCTATTTCTCTTTCAGCATATTTAATTCGCAGTTACGGCTATTGATTGTTGAGTTCCGATTCAATTTTGTTACGAATTGTGGAAATATACGTATAAAATTACTTTCAATTTGTTTCTTACACGTGAATCATAGATATCTGTACTATATGATGATTTGAAGATAATTTAGCGATATGAATATTATTATGTCGACAATAATAAAGAATCAAATGTGCGGGGAGGCTTAGGAAGCTCTTAAATAGAAAACTACAATTTTTGCCTTTGTTTGGTTTTTTAGAAACCTCATTTTGATTAATAGAGTCTCCATTATTTCAGTAAAACTATAGAGAACACATAGATGGAAGAACATTTATGTCATAAAAACGTTCCAACTAAAGGGAAGAGAACTACAACTACCACAATTCTTTACATGAAAATTTGTAGCCACAAGCTCACCACAGCAGAAGAAGAGGCAGAAGAGAGAGCAACACCCAACAGCAACAACAACAACAACAACAACAACAACAAAAAAGACTAAGTATCAATAGCCGGCGACCCCTCCGGCGGCGGACGGCAGCCGGCCGTAATACGTGTGGTTGGAGTTGTGGTGGTGGAGTTGAGACGATGGGCCGAAGCCGTCGTCGAGTTGCAAGTAAAGGGCGACCAGATTTCTGAGCTGTTGCTGGTCGATAAAAGGCCAACCGGCGGCGGCGATTGGCGGCGGCTCTGGTGCATGGCGATCGCCGGCGCTTCCCAAGACGACGTAAAAGAGGGAGAGGGCGAGCAAGGAGGCAAGGTAGGCAACTTTGGCGGAGTTGAAGTAGATATAGTAAGCGACCAAGCTTAGATAGTATGTCATGTCGAATTTGGGTATAAACTAAACTAATTACAAGGATTTAAGGAAGGAAAAGAGGAAGAAGGATACTATGAGTTTGAGTAATGGGAATTGGGAGGTACTAATTATATGAAATAAAAGGAGATGGGGCATGCTTTATATAGCAACAATAGGAGGAACACGATATGGATATATTAAAGAGGGGGATGGAGGGGGGTTAGCTAGGGAGGTATTGAACTGGATTGGTTCATTGTGGACGTCCGGTTGGTTAGAGTTGTACCTCGTAATTGTTTAATTCAAGGATCGCGAATGAAAGTTAATGATACATTAATTATAACAGATTTCGGTTTGTTAATTAGAGTATGTAGTACAAGAAAAGGAGGCATTGAACAGGGTCGTCGGTCCATTGTGTGCGTCGTGTTAATTCAAGTTTTTTAGATCAGTTTGTTTATAGATTTCCATTGGTTTAAGTCGACCTGTAATTTAACTTTGACTATGCTATATAACTTTGAGTGAGAGTGGAACACACTGAACATCAATATATATGTCTTTATTGCACACGAAATAGGATCGGAGGCCCCTCAATCTCTTAATCAAGGGGTTTTGAAAGCGCCCCATCTATCCAAAGTAGCTCGAACAAAGTGAGAGGAAGTTTAATCTTATTCGCTACCTTTTGTACTTATGATCATATATCGATCTACAAATCTCGGAAAAGAAGTCCATCTGTTTTGAGAGGAAATATAAGATGTATATCATCATCTAACACGTTGTTAGGTATCAAATCATAATCTGAATAATAGAGATTTGACAAAAACTTAATTATTTGTGGACATGAATTACTTGGGGAAAGGGAGATGAGTCGAAATCAGGTCATTAATGGCTAAGGGGCAGCTTATAACCATATACAAATACGTACTAAAGGTGTAGAGTATTATAGTATATTAGTATGATGTGAATGTGTACAAGTTTTAAGGTTAAGGATGGATGTATACGTGTGTTTGTTATACCTATACCTATACCTATACGGTTGGGTGGGTCCGTGGGTGACAAATGCAATGAGGTATTGGCCACAGACACCCAAGAAAGATTATTTATTTATTTATTCTCTTCTCTTCTTCTACTTGCATGCATTTCATCACTATCGTCTTTCTTCTTCCTTCCCCTGACTTTCTGCTTCTATATGTTAGGCTTATCATCTCCTCATTATTGGCTGAATTTAAGTTTTGATCGATTTCATGTGGGATTATGCTAATTTCTCTATCACCGCCCACCAACTCCTACCAATTGTACACATAAATATTGGGCTACTCCATAACTAAAGAAAGAGATTAAGCGCAAACCGAATTTCATAACAAGATAACTATATAAACCAAGTAGGGTGAGACACAAAACAGTTCCATTTGTTGGAAGAAAGGAAGAGCTATAGAGCAGTGGGCAGTGGCATTATGACAGTAGGACCTCACCAGGCAAGAGGACTGCATTCATTGCCCTCTCGAACTCTCACTAGCTAACCGTTTTGTTTTTTTCAGTGTGCTTTCCCTTCTCTAGTGATAATGCTTTGATAGGATTGGAATGTGCCACATAACATATTTACATATGTACCATTCTCTTCCCTACATCACTCCAAATCAACAGTACGCTAGCGGTATTGGAAGAAATTCCATTTACGTGTGTACAATTTCTTTCATCTACCAGCAGGCAAGACGCAACCAAGTAATGAGGTTTTCATTAAAAGCCTCTGAAATTTGTCTGGCCAACAAAATTCAGCACATGTGATGTGAGTTAATTAAGAGCTGAAGGTACAGTACAGAGATGTCCATTTCCATGTCCTTATCCTTGCGGGACCTCTCGGATTCCCCTTTTATGAAATCCTTTGCTGGAGCCCTCCCTCCCTTTCCATAAACAAGAGCGGTAATTCGTTTACACTCGGAATTCTGATGAAAGGAATTGTTCTTTTCACAAGATTGATAACTCCGTTAAAATTCGAAAATAATAAAATGATACGAAACCAACATTTGATGAAAGAAATTGTTCTTTCACAAGATAGATTAGATAGCTTTGTTAAATTCGATAAAACAAATGACACGAAACCGACACAAAGAAGAAGAGATAATGAATTTCCTTAAAAATAGCTCCGAATAGAATGAAAAGACTTCCTCGCTATAACTTCCTGATACACTGACGAAATGGGTTGCACTTCCTACATTTTCTAAGCTGAAATACATACAAACAACTTATACTATTTTTCATTCACCGAACCGACCATCTCCAACAAACGAGCAATGTAGCATCAACCAAACCATGGGACGCAGAATTATATTAATAAGCAGGCTATCCTAGTCTAGTTATGGGCAAGGCAAGCACTAATGTCAGACTCAATTGCCCTATGAGTTAATTAGATAGGACACTATGGTGGTTTGCACCTTAGATTAGTCTTAACAGTATACACTAATCCTCGGCCTTAATTATTCCCTAATTAGAACAATCATATAATTAATTGGGTAGGCAAATCTAATTTAATTCACCTTACTTAATTATTCCCTAGGCCCATTTATATATATCTCCAAGTCCAACGGCCAACGCCACCCCAAACCTCGTCAAAAACCAAGACCCTCCAAATCCAAACCCAACACGGAAAATGGCTTCCCATCTCTTCACAATCCTCTGCTTCCTGCTCTTCTCCCTGGCTTACTCCCAGCCTAAGAACCCGAACCCGAACCCGAACCCGCTGATCCAGCAAGAGTGCAACCGCACGACGGCCTGCCTCCAGTGCCTCGAGCCCGACCCTGATTCCCGGGCCGCCGACCGGGCCGGGCTCGCTGCCGTCTTGGTCAACTGCGTCGTGGCCCGGTCCAAATCTCTGCTGGCTGGCATGTCGCCGCTGGGGCAGTTCTTGGCAAAACGCGACAAAGTGGGGGTAACGGTTTTCCTGGTGTGCAACGTGGCAATCGATGGGATGGCTCTGGAGCTGCCTGATGCCGTCGGGTTCTTGGCAAAAGGGGATTACCAGGGAGCCAACGGCGTCGTTCAGGGAGCTCTGAAGTATCAGGACGCTTGCTTGTTCCTGGCGAAGTCTCGCGGCCGCGTGTCTCAACTTTTTGCTCCGTCTCTGCTCGATGAAGTCGCGGCTAACGTCGCACTCTCCGAGGCATTCTCGCAGATCGTTGGCATGCCAGCCTGAGAGCTGGTAGCTAGTGATAGACCGAATTAGTAGAATTAACGTACAATAGATATGGTAATTGCTATAATGTGAGTAAATAAATATGTTTATGTGACAAGAAGCAGATTATGTGATGATAACTTGGCCTAGGCATGGTTATAATTCTCTGCTTACTACGATATGTAATTTCAGGGGAGATTAAATAAAGTGAAGCCTTATTAAGATGTGGTCACGATTAGGAATGAAAATGAGGTAGGTCAGGAAGAAATCTCGATATCCATATTCATTTTGTGAAAGATTGGATTCAAATACAAACAAATTACAAATAATTAATCATCGTTCTTGGTATCTTTTTTAACCGTTATGGTTAGCGTCATCATAGTTAATTACTGTGATCCGTGAGTGATTTTACTGATGAGATCGGTGAAAAAAGACGAATTAGCTTCATTGTGGTTGTCTCACAATAGTATAACTTTCATGGAACGGTAAAAAGTAAGATTTAACTTTCGGTGATGTGCTCTAATTTTTTCGTCGGATTTTGATTGTGGCACGGTAATTCTGTGAAGATTACAATTACGTATTTACCGTTATGGAAATTGAATGCATGGTTTGCCCTTCTGAGTTCTGACCTCTCACGTGAATTTTGCATGTAACCTTCGGCAACACCAAAAACCAGCTCGCGGGCCGCTAGAAACCATTCACGTGGGTTTACATAGGGTCCAATTCCCCAAAGGCCATATCTCAAAAGGCCCAAAATAAAGCCCAAAGAAAGCCCGTTTGGTTGGCCACTAACTTTCCTAAACAGTAAATCCCAGTATATTACACGCCAAGTCGCCAACTACTTCACATTCAGTTGGCGGTGGCGGCGGGAGAAAGCAGAAGCAGCGGCAACTCATCGTCCATCACCGGCCGCCAGAATCCCTTCCATCGCTAGCTCTGAAAGTTTCGTTCGAAGGAGGCGTCTCAAGCTTCTCCATTCTTGGCTTCTTGCCCATATTTTTGAGTTCTCATTGGAGCAAGATGAGTTCCCTCCAGATGGCTTCCGGCGTTGCGGTGTCTCAGGCCTTCAATCCCCGCCGATTGGCATTCAATCCAGAGCGGTTACCATCTCGAGGAATCAGATTCCAAGGGAAAAAATCAGCAATCGTCTCGTGTGTCAACGTGGACGTCAAGCCTTCGCCGGAGATTGCCGCTAAAAAAATGGAGGGTAATGGTAGCAAGGAGATAATGGAGGCGGAAGCGAAATTGATTGTGGGAACTTACGCCAGAGCTCCCCTGGTGCTCGCCAGTGGCAAAGGGTGTAAATTGTACGATGTGGAAGGGCGGGAGTACTTGGATTTGACATCGGGGATTGCAGTGAATGCTTTGGGACACTGCGACTCCGACTGGCTTAAGGCTGTGATTGAGCAGGCTAATCTGTTGACTCATGTCAGCAATGTCTACTACTCTGTCCCTCAGGTTTTTGCTTCAATTCAATTCTTCATTTTCCCCCCTCAATGTTTATCCTTGTCTAGTTCAAACAGTTTATGGAGTGTTTGTTTGTTGAGGAGGTTTCAAAATTTATGATTTCTGTCTTGGCTGAACAGCTTAGTATCCTCGTGGAGTGTTTGTTTGCTGGGAAAGTTTCGGAATTTATGATTTCAATCTACTTAAGACAGCTTATAGTTGCATGTCATTATGGCAGGTTGAGCTAGCCAAGCGTCTGGTGGCTAGTTCATTTGCTGATCGGGTGTTCTTCTCCAACTCTGGGACTGAAGCCAATGAGGCTGCGATTAAGTTTGCAAGGAAGTTCCAGAGGCACTCAAACCCTGATGCCAAAGAGCCAGCCAGTGAATTCGTCTCTTTCAGTCATAGTTTCCACGGCAGGACGATGGGTGCACTTGCTCTGACGAGCAAGGAACAGTATAGGACCCCCTTTGAGCCTGTCATGCCGGGAGTTAGCTTTGTGGAGTTTGGAGATATAGAAGCCTCGAAGAAGTTGATTCAACGAGGCAAGACTGCTGCAGTTTTTGTTGAGCCGGTCCAAGGTGAAGGAGGGATATACAGCGCGAGGAAGGAGTTCCTGCAGTTTCTACGTGACGCTTGTGATGAAGCTGGAGCTCTTCTGGTCTTCGATGAGGTAATAAGGCACTGGTATCGTTTAATACGTGACCAATTAGATAAAGGCGTAAAAGCTGGATTTCATTGAGAACTTGGGTTTTGATTCCAGCAGGATATCCCATGATGTTCTCTGCTACTAGACTGCATATATGGAAATACAGCTACTAAGTGCTAACTTCTCAATTGTAAACAAGATCGAAGTTTACCTTGAAGGGGTGAAATTACATCACTATTTAGCTGTTGATCCTGTTTTCCTCTCTAATTTGCTAATCTTCTTGCAAGTAGTATCGAGTTTTCCTCAATGCATCTCAATGGTGAAGTAGGGAAATATGAGTGATGAATAATGAAGGAATCATTGAGTGATGAATAATGAAGGAATCATTGAGTGATGAATAATGAAGAAGTTGTGGATGATTAAACCTATTACTTTATGCCTTGTGTGTGAGTGGTTTCATGAGGTATTCTTACACAATCCCTTGTTCGTGCTTTCTGCAGGTGCAATGTGGTTTAGGTAGGACTGGCCAGCTCTGGGCACACGAACCATACGGTATCTTCCCAGACATAATGACCCTAGCCAAACCACTGGCAGGTGGACTGCCCATCGGAGCTGTCCTGCTAACCGAACGAGTCGCCTCAGCCATCAACTACGGTGACCACGGGAGCACATTCGCCGGGGGGCCTCTCGTCTGCACCGCTGCCATTTCCGTCCTGGACAAAATCTCGAAACCCGGCTTCTTATCCAGCGTCTCCGAGAAAGGACAGTTCTTCAAGAACCTCTTAACCCAGAAGCTTGGCTCAAACTCCCACGTCAAGGAAATTCGAGGACTGGGGCTCATCATCGGAATAGAACTCGATGTATCAGCTTCGCCGGTGGTTGATGCATGTCGAAACTCGGGCCTCCTGGTGCTGACTGCTGGAAAGGGCAACGTGGTGAGGCTCGTGCCTCCATTGGTCATCACTCAGGAGGAACTAAGCCAGGCTGCTGAGATATTGGCAAATGCTTTGCTGGCTCTTGATGGACATGATTACTAAGTAGCATGGATGCAAATTGACTAATGTTATTCTAATTTTATATTTACTTTGGTGGTGGGATCTGGTTTAAGGTCTTTGGGAAGTATTATTGTAATTTGTGTTAAATCTAAATTTGGAGTTATGATAAGCTTTGTTTAGAATAGAGATGAATTGGTCTATACTCTATAGTCTATTCGAATCCTCGTTGCTTCGGTTGGCTTTAAGATGAGAAGCCTCGAGCGGTACTTCGCTTCCCTCGTGCTTGGTTTGTTAGCTTCGACAGGACAACTTGGCTAGATCTATAAACAGAACTTGTTCGTGATTTTTGTTTTTTCTTCATCAGAAACAGGGCAAAACAAGACTACGACACTGCACTAGACCGACACACTGATGTAGTGATGTGTAGGCTCTTCTTCCATCCGATCTTATATCAGATCCGACATTAGACTTGCTTGGACAGCTAATAGAGGTGCATAATCTCTTGTCGGCCGGTTTTAGTGGTAATAATTGAGGCAAAATCAAACAAGTAAGCTTCTCAAAGTACAAATAATCTGTCTTCATGTGCCTTCCTGTTGGGCCCTGATAGACCCAATTAGTATCCACGAACCATCTTTTCTGCTTGTTTTCAAAATGTTTCACACGCGAGCTTCAGAAAGATTGCGACTTTAACCCAAAAGATTTGTATAATAAACGCCTGTGTTTATCACTAATCAACTCTTAAAAAATTGATTTATCAGCTTAACTTTCGTGTGTATCCCTTAAACATTTGAAAGTTCAAACCTTTAAAAATTGGGAAATGACCCGCACAAGGCAAGTCGTTTCATTTCAGAGACAATTCCAATGAAAAATCCCATCTTGCCTACAAATTGGACAATCCAAATAGGAAAGACGGAAACGCACTGAGGCGAATTACCAGGGTTGTATTGTTTTGATCCATCGTCAGGCGCCTATAATTGATCTGTCAGCCATTACTGCTCTATTATTATCTACACAGAGTTTCAGATTGGAAGCCCAGAGAGAGAGAGAGAGAGAGAGAGAGAGAGAGAGAGAGAGAGACGAATCCATTGTTGTTCCCCGTCGGACATTCCGAGTCATGACGTCGTCTCCTCAGTCGCCGGCGAGCAAGATCGAGGCGGCGCACCAGCTCTACAGAGAGGGGAAGCACGCCGCCGCGCTGGGATTCTACACGGAAGCGCTCGCCGCCGCCAAGACTAAGCCGCAGAGGATTGCCCTCCATAGCAACCGAGCTGCTTGCTACCTCAAGTTGCACGATTTCAAGAAGGTACGAAGTAAAAAATCCTTGCTTTTTTTCTTATTCTGATTGTTTGTTGTTCTCGAGATGGTCTGTTTGGTTTGGGGGAATTCGATTACTGATATTGCGAACTTTGCGACTTCGTTGTGTTACAGGCAGCTGAAGAGTGTACTTCCGTGCTGGAGCTGGATTACGACCACACCGGAGCTTTGATGCTGCGGGCGCAGACGTTGGTGACGCTGAAAGACTATCACTCGGCCTTGTTCGATGTCAATCGGCTGATGGAGTTGAATCCATCTTCGGAAGTTTACCAGAACCTGGAAACTCGATTGACGACTCAATTGGTAATTGACACCTTTTAGCCCCCTTTGGATGTGTGCTTTGCGTTGCTTGTCATTTCCCTTCTTCGGTTGATGCAATCTAGCACTGTCTTTTAAAATGGTTTCAATACCTCCAGAAAGTACTCAATTGCCTGTATTTAATTTAGGCTTGCATTGTATGCGAAATGCTGATAAAGTAATCTGCTTTCTTTGATATTGTTGACAAGGATCTATGCTTTCTTTGATCATGTATGGGTCTGTTTCGATGAACTTTAGTAGCTGTCGAAACCCGAGTTTGGCTAGGTTATTTGATCCTGCTGCAGTGCTTCAGTTGGGATTCTGATACTGATCAGCAACTTTGTAGTTTGTGGATGACTATCTTGTCTCGTTTGTTAGTTGCTCAATTCAAATTGAGAGCTCCTAAACGTTTTTTATTTATTTATGGTGATTGCTGAAATTGTTGTTCTTTTGGTTAAGGAAGTCCTTAGCTCCAATACCAGAGTCCGAAGCTGAGTTAGAGGAAGAAGAAGAGGATGAGAAATATGATGACTCAGAAGAGGGAGAAGAAGATGAAGAAGTTGAAGACCAAGATGTTGGCATAGTGCAAAACAGTATGCTTGAACAAGATCGGACAACTGTATATATGGAAGAAGGCATGCAGAAGTCTTCCGATGGAGGCAGAGATGATCAGAAATCCGAGCCAAGGAAAAGCATCACGGCTGAAGTTGTGGCACAAGCACAGAAGAAGACTGAGCCGAGGAGAAACATTGCAGCTGAAGTTATTGCACAGGCACGGAGGACTGGTAAAGCATCACCCGAGCAACAGTCCAATGGTTGGCAGGCGATTCCGAAACCAAAGGGACACTCGGCGTTGGATTATGCACGTTGGGATAGAGTCGTCGAAGACGACTCAAGCGATGAAGATGATGATGACGAAGATAATGATGAAGAGGAGCCTCGGCCACAGTACAGATTCCGTGTCAGAACCGTTGGCGTACAACCTGTAAAGTGAAACAAACAACAAGAAAATGCACATCCATAGGCAAAGAAACACGGATATGAGAGGTGCAACCGCTGAATGCTTGCGTTGGGTAAACATAAGAGGCACAACTTATGGCGAATCATGAACAGCTGAGAGAAGACGAAGGGCTTCTTTCGAGGTGGCAGGAATGCAGAAAGTTAGATGCTGAATGAACCATTGCTGGGACATTGATGAGAACGAGTTCCATATCATGATCAATGCATATGCATTACCTCAGCTGAATGTTTCAGTTCCAACATGGCAAAGGATACCAGAGTAGAATCGCTTTATACGTTGCAAGATTACAAGGCTGTAAATAACTGTTTCTTATAGGCTGTGTTCATTCTCTTGTTCATACTTGGTGTCGTTTGCAAAAGTGAAAAGGATGGTGTGTCCACATTTTTAAGGTAGACCATGTTTCTCACTACCAAGTTTCCCATCCAAATGGTCCCTTTGAATGTGTACATTTTGGCGATTGAATATGCACCGGCATGTTACCCAACGAAGAGCGAAATAGGCTGATAGTTTGGACACAGTAGTAGTCTCCTGATATAATTAAAGCAGATGAAACAATACAAACAAAACACTCTCATACTCCTTCCTGTCTAGTATTATGGAACCGGGGAACCATCAATAGATGGCATCCTTCGGAATACCATTTTTTTGTTCAGGCTATATACTACATATCCCAATATAGTGCAGGCTTGAAACCATGAAGAAAGCGAAAGCTAAACATCTGATCCTGATGATTCATCTCCTTATGTCACTCTTGTGCCTATACTCCCGTTCTCTGTCCCTAGATTCTCGCCTGTGGTCACCAGCTGGGTCTCTTCTCTTGTGTTCTCTACCCTCATCTCGCTCTTCTCTGTCCCTTGTTTCTTGCCTGTCACTCTCTCCGTGTCTTCGTTTACGCTCTTTACTGTCATCATCCAACTCTTTCAGGTGAATTCTATCCTTGCCTTCGTCGCTTCTTCTCCAGTAATCGCCTTCCCCACTCCTCCTCTTGTAATGATCTTTGTCTCTGTCGCTCTCTGTTCTTTCTCTGCGACCGTGATGATCAGTGCTAGTCTTTTTACCATCTCCCCTATCACCACCGTGGTCTTTGATTCTGCTTTCATGTTGATACCGAGTTGCTTTGCTGTCACGCCGTCTATCACTATCATCATCTTCATCGACACGCCTTCTGTCATTTTGACGTATCTTACCCTTTGACGAATCCTTGATCTCTTCATCTCGGTCATCTGAGATTCTTCTATGCCTCCTCCTTTCCTTGTCAAGTTGTTCATGTTGTTCCCCCTGGCTTCTGCGACTCTTTTCTTGTATTGGGCTCCCAGGAGCTTCCCCATCAAACACCATATCATACCTATAATTGTACATCAGATATTAGTCGGATTCAAATGCCACGTAGAGACAACAAGGGGCTATATAGAAAGAGAGATAACGACGAACCTGGAATTATCACTACCACGTTGTGTGTTATCATCCTTCAGGATGTACTTTGGACCCTGACTTTTAGAACCAGGACCATCAGTACAGTCCCTTGCAAGGTGATCGACAGCACCACACTTGAAGCAACCTCCACCTGCACTCGAGACATTAGAATAATCAGAAAGTAAGAATAGAATACTGAAAATCAAGAAACAGAAGTTCAAATTCGGCCATGCCTCCTAGGCAACGTAGGACCGGTCCGGTCCAGAACTGGCACAGGATCAAATCGAGAATAAAGGAAAGAAGGGAACCAGAATCAGGCAAAAACACATTCAATTGGAACGGTTTTCTTTTAAGTGAGGGTAGGCAATCAAATAACAAGGTAGTTGTCTTTTCCAATTTTGATTTAGTCAGCCCATGGGATCAAAGCCCAAGACTGGTATCAAAACTGAATCAAATTATCCCAACTCCTCTCCAATTTGGTCCACACCGACATGATAATGGCATAATTTGTAAACCTCGACATGCACTTATCAAAACTCATGGATTTGCGAATCAAAACTGAATCAAATAATGCCAAGTCCCTTCTAATTGTCTAGATGTAATCCAAGTGGTTCAAGTGCTTGAAAAGCATATCTACCGAAACAAATAAAATTGCCTCAATAAGACAATTCATTTCATTCTTCCTCTATGTTGTTTACGGATTATGGTTCTTTTAGGGTTCTAGTTGATAGGTGTTTTCCAATTCCATCTCAAGTCCAAAACTGGACATGGTCCACACCCATCCCATGGATTATGCATATGATAATGGCATAATTTATATATGTCTACATGCACTTATCAGAAGGTCTTTGCTTATCTTACCTGAATCTTTGCCTCTGCGCCGGTACTGACCCCATAGTCTTGCAACACTTTGGCTGAAATCAACTTTTATCCTTCTGTCATCTATCAAAGCGTTGTCCATCTACGGTATACAACAAAGTTACGATCATTGTATTCGACTCGCATTGTTAGGAATGAGTGGAATGAATCGAAACGGTAGTTTATTAGCCTTCACCATACCTTAAAATATGCTCGTTCACATGCTTCTCTAGTCTCAAAATCTGAATAAAAATTGAGATGGGAGGAGGAATAAGGACAGGCAGTTGTAAGGATAAAAGGAAGGTTTATAACTTAAGAGAGTAACACATTGGAGACAATAGGAGACTTATTAGCTGTTCTGCTATGAAATTTGAGAAGAATGGAAGTTACATACCTATAAATGCATAGCACAAGCTGTTTCCAGTTTTGAACTCGCGAATTATATCAGCCCTGTAACCAATCACACAGGATGCAAACTGTTTTCAGTAAATAGACTGTTAACATTATAGATAGATCAATTTGTGTAGAAGGATTATATTTGATTACTTACGATACCACATTCCCAAAACGTGAAAAAATTGTATGCAAGTCCTCATCCTGCATTTCAAATCATATATTAGTGAACTTCCTGAAGAAAAGAGATAAATGATTTGGTCCTGATATGAACTACTGGAGGTAAAAGTTATGCAACCTACTTCAGTGACAGGATTCAGTTTGCACACAAACAATACATTCTCAGGAGGCTTTACTTCAGCATCAGGGATATCCCCAATCTACATAGAAAAGAAGCAAAAAAGGCTCAATCCCTATAGGCAGAACATTAAATCATTAATATGATCAACATACAAAAATAGATACTTACACTCTCGAGCACAACAGCTCTAGAATGTGCATCCTTTTCCCTAATAATCTCTTCAAGTTCTTCTGGACGTAATTGCTCATCCAAGGGAACCCAATCATCTTCAAGCCGAACGACGCCAAGAGCCTGAAAAACATATAGACATAATAAGAATAAAGAATTAATACCAGATATGTTACTTCAAGAAAACAAATCCGTAGGGAGAAAGTCTGATTGGTTTTAAATTAAGTGATACCATTTCTCAACTATGTCTAAAATAAGCGTTTTAAATTCCTGAGATAAAAAATGGTGTATACATTTATGCATAACATATAAAATAACTGAGATCATTAATACCTCTTCCTTTGGCTTTCCTTCTGGGGAAGCATCAGGGATCAACCCAGGTAACTCATTGGGATCTTCAAAAGGATCCTCAAGTATATATGTGTGCTTTATCCTGTTGAAACTCAAAATAACTTATCAGCAATCATATGAAGATTGTCTGCATGAAGTAATAATATCTTGATATGTGTCCATAGATTGGAGCTCATAAAGTAAGGATATCGAACCTTATATCTTTATATGGCCTGTTCTTTTCATCTACATAAGCTTCGTTGATTCTAGTCAAAGTAGTTTCCAGTCCTTCTGCTACCTCTCCAAAAACCTAAATCAACAGAAATATAGTTGCATTACAACCATGTTTTTAAGAAACCCACTTAAACTATGAGGAAGAATCACAGCTTATCGACACAATACAAGGATTATGAGCTTCCTAATCCAAGGCAACCCTATCAACTAGTTTTCAAACAATTGAACATGAAACGTAATCAACTTGTGTTTGCAAGAAGTTATACCATAGAACTCCCTAATACTGTTGAATAGTAACAGAATTATCCCAAGGGAGAGAAGTAGTGCAAGATACTTACGGTATGCTTCCCGTCCAGATAGTCCAGGTCGTCACGTAACGTGATGTAGAACTGAAAACAAACAAAAGTACAACACATTAGAACCCTCCACTATCACGTCACAGTGGCTATTTACTAAGCAAGAGAACATCAAACCTGTGAAGCATTCATATTTTCTCCAGCACTAGCCATCGCAAAAGTTCCCATCTTTGTATGTTTCAGATTAGGATGAATTTCATCGTTGAAGAAGCGGGCTTGGTCTCCGTAAAGAAATCTGGAAATCGAGCAGAGTGCGACTTTAGTAATGAGAGTGCTTAGCTAGGAAAAGAGCCAAACTACTAGTACACTCCCAACGGCATTTTCCAACACATTCAAGTTTATATAATCCCGTTATCAATCGAGTCTTACTTGTAGACTGAGTCACCACCAGCTCCTGTGCCGGTAGGATCGCCAGTCTGTGCAGTAAAATCCTTCTGAATCGTGTGGAACAGGCACCCATTGAAATACTTCATCCTTTATCAGTTCAACCAAACAAACCAAAAACAATGCACACAGTCAGCAAGATGAATACATACTCTCAGCTGAAGAAGAAAAAAAAAACCCTAATTCAAATTCAAACGAGAATCGCCATCCATTATTCACCTAGAAAAAACACAGCTGTCCAGCGCAATTACTCATCCGCATGAAAAGCAAACAAAGCAAACAAAGAAGGTACGGAATCACAAGCATTACTTGCAGAGCTTCAAGAAGTTCTTGCAGGTGAGAGGGCACTCGTTGGTGAACAAGTCGACCACCAAATCCCCTAAGCTCGTCACTATCAACACCGACATCTCACTATCTTCTTCTGCTTCCTCTCTCTGTCTCCCGACGGCGGAAATTCGGTCCAGGAACGCAGACGGCTAGTAGTAATGAACGAAGCAAGATGCTAAGCCGACTATGGCAATGAGCGATCCCGGGGAAACGAAGGAACGCCGATGGAGTTTTGGACAGCGATTGGATACTCTTCGGGAACGAACGGAAATGCAGGAGCGCGAAGGAGAATAATTGGGCCGGTGGACTAGGGCCCAAATTATATGGCGGTAAACACATTTAAAGGCCAACAATGCATGATCCACTAGCTTTAGAGGCCCATAATTGCGTCTCGGTCCACCCGCAACCATCTGGAGGGAAAAGTCCTCCAAAAATTTCAAAATTTCGTACGCAGTCCCCACCAAACATATAATATTCCCTCTCTTTTCCTACTAACCCCACTCTAATAAAACAAACTTTCAAGTCATTAAACAAGTCAATAATCAAGCAAAGAAACAACTCACACCTTCTTATATATTCGTTAAGTCAATCATCAACAATATAATTAATTACCCATTGCCAATTATGTCTTGTAGTGATTTACAATTTTTTTCATTTGCAATTGCATACAATATTATGTTGATAAACCTTACATTAAATAATAGATAAATCAAATAATAGCTAATCAAAGCTCGAATTCGAAATAATAAGAGCATGTAATTGTGAAAAAATGGTAGTAAACAGTAAAATTTATACAATAATTTGATTGAAGCATGTAATCAAATTATTAATATATAATTATGAGTAAAATAGGGAGAATAAAAATTAGGTGGGAAAATGGAAATAAAACATGGTAGTCAGTCAATTGGGCAATTTTTGCAGTACGTCACCAGCCAGCACTGTCTCAGAGACTCTCACAGGGCAACCAGAGGCCATTCCCTCTCTCTCTCTCTCTCTCGTTTAGGAAGAGCTTCCTAAACCAAAAACCCTTAGGAAGAGCGTCCGATTTCTACAGGGAAATTCTCCGGATTTTCCGAGGCCGAAAAGGAATATTCAGCCATGTCGCAGCTGGGAAGTGTACAAGGCAGCGGAGAAGGCAGCATAGTTGTCGCCGGCGGCGGCGGGGGCCCGGACTTCGACTTGCCGGACAATATTCTGGCTGTTATACCGGCCGACCCTTACGACCAGTTGGATCTGGCGCGAAAGATCACTTCCATGGCAATCGCTTCCCGCGTGTCGAACCTGGAAGCGGAGGTGGGAAGGATGAAGCAGAAGATGTACGAGAAGGATCGAATTGCTTACGAGCTCGAAGAGAAAGCGTCTCGAATGCAGCGGGCGTACCGGGAGGCAGAGTCGAGGCTGAAGATCACCCTTGACGAGAATGTAAGTAGAGGGGAACTCTTCTCTTTTCGATTTTTCATATCATATAGAGAAGAAAGAACATTTGAGTATGCAATTTGATCAGTGGGTGTTAGGGTTTCTGCGAAATTTCGGATATTGAGGTTGATTTCTGGAAATTAGCACTTACTTGGTTCTTTTACTGCTGTTTTCATGATGAAGATTAAACTTGCTAAGGAAAGGGATTCGTTGGCTGCCAACGTGAAGAAGCTTGGCCGTGATTTGGCAAAGGTATGCTGCATCGCCATTACTCAGAAATGCAATTGAGTTTCTTGCTTACTCTGCAGTTGCTGTGAATTAGGTTGTCATTAAGCATGTTTGATGGCTCAGGTTGCCTATATTCACTTGCTTAGAGTTCTTGTACATAGATATCTGCATATTTAGTGTCGGATGGTGTGTTTGATTTGAGAAATGACTTGTCATCGGTTCAGGGGTCTCCGTGTATGCTTAGAGAAATGACTAAGGTAACTTGTTTGATTGCAGTTGGAGAACTTCAAGAAGCAGTTGATGCAGTCACTTAGTGATGACAGTCCGTCGGTAAGATGTGTTGTTCACTTGTTATTTATAGTTTTTTTCTTACTTAATTTCTAATCTTCTTTTGCTGTGATTTATTGAGTAATTGTCTTCTGTTTCTATGTTTTAAGCCAACACAAACTGTTGATATTAGAGCATATGATCATCATGCACCAAAGGCATATCCTGATAAAGGTAGTGTGTCGAACAGCTTCTGGTGCTGCTGGAATTTCCCATTGGCTGATCATATTACTGCTCCATTTCTTTATCAATCAGATCAACTTTGATGTGTATATGTCTGCTTATTTTCTGTTGCCATCCCACTTCTTTCTTGGCAGATGAAGTGTCAAATGGATTTGCCAGCGACAATTCTTACAATGGCTCTACAAACATGAGTACAGCTGATCAAGGTATTCAACTGCTCATGGCTGTGTACTCTTCTAGACGATTGATGGTCTTTATATCAATTTATGAAAATAAGATCTTTAAGTGGAGTGGCTAGCTCTAGAGTAGACTTCTCTTGGGATGAATAATGTACCAATGTTTCCTCTCTATTTCATCCGTAGTTTCACATCGGAAAGATGTAGTCAAATAGTATCTGGAATCTGAATTTTTACTTCTGGAAAACATGCTCTCAGTCAAACAGACCAATTACCCAGGGCACCTAACGTTTGTTACCCTCTTTAACTGAATCACAAAAGCTAAATTGGTGTCCCCAGTTATCTTAGAAAAGTGGAGTTTACGTTAGTGTACGCTAAAGTTTGAGTTCACTTCATTACTCTTATGCTGATGTAACAGCTGCAAAGTCTGCTGGACAAAGATTCTCCATAACCCCGTACATCACACCACGGCTTACTCCAACTGCAACCCCAAAAGTTACATCTACAAGTGTGTCCCCTAGGAGTTATTCTACTGCTGTGTCACCTCGGAGAGCCTCTGCTCTGACATCTCCGACGAAATCCCAATATGAGGGACAACAAACTAGCTTTTCTCCATGGTATCCATCCAGTCAACAGTCTTCGGCAGCCAACTCCCCTCCTCGGGGACGCTCAATGCCAGGTTTGTGACTGCAACTCTCAGTGGAAGTCTTAAGTGATACTATTGGTCTATCCTTACATCAGTACTTTCAGGCGCAAATCTGAGAAAGATGGTTATATATTAATTCCACCTCTTAACGTTAACCATTGTATTCTTGAAATCTCTGTAGCACGGACTCCACGAATTGATGGAAAGGAGTTCTTTCGTCAGGCCAGGTGAGTTCAACTGGTCCCACATGTGCTTTCATATAAAAACTTATGGTTAACAGAACTTGTACTTCAGATCTTATCACTCACTTGTATAATGCTTATTCAGGAGTCGCCTGTCATATGAGCAATTCAGTGCATTTCTGGCTAACATCAAGGAACTAAATGCCCAGAAGCAAACCCGGGAGGTAAGCTATTATTGGCTTGAAGGACATCTTGGTCATTGTTACAGTGTTTGGGGTGCTTTTCTTATCTAGATGCTCTTCTATCTTCTAGGAAACTTTGAGGAAAGCTGAAGAGATATTTGGGACAGAGAATAAAGATCTCTTCTTATCATTTCAAGGATTGCTCAACCGTAGTAGTGCTCACTGAAACTGCCTTATGCGTAAGGCATCCGACCTAACTAGGTATGCTGTTCATCGGCCACCATCTTCAAGCTTTATCCATCCATAAAAACTTCACAACGTTCCAAGCTCCAGTTTGCTAAACCTTTTACTGAATCTAACTTAAGTTATTGCATCCTCATGCCAGGTGGTACATCGAAACAGCAGTCAGTTCCTTGTGACGATTCATTCGAGGATGCACAATCATCGACAAATCACAGTGACATGTATTTCAGCAAGTAGAAGTAGAATGTTGCTAGGGCTTCACTGAAATCATGCAAATGCTGTAGATAGTCTTTACTTGGTCAACATTGTTTTCGTTGTCGATGAATGATTTTTGATCAATTGGAAACTTCCATTTGACATGATCTTTTGATTTCAACATTTGCTTCCCCTGATTATCCGCAGAGTGGAATTTCTTGCATTTGCCCTCCAGTCTTTTGGCTACTAAGAACAGTAAACACAGCAAATACTAACAAAATGAGTGTATTAATCATCAGACTACACAGCAAAAATCCTCTGCTGTACTTCCATCAATTAACTACTATTTCCATAAGGAAGCCCTCCCTTCCAAAATCGAAACTAGAAAAGAAAGGATTAACCAGCAAATCTAGTAGGAACAGAGTCCTTTTTCGATTGCAGTTTCTTGGCTGATATATGCTTCACGCACAGCATCCAGCATCTCGTCAAGCTGGTCGATGCCCTGCCTCACATCATTGAGATCGATTCCAGATCTCAGCTTTTCCTGCAAACGAGCGCATAACCCCTCTCAACTCTCAAGCGTGAGTGTGGCTTCACGACCGAATGGACCATAAACCGGGAGTTCTTCTTCTTCTTCGACCTCTTCGCGTTCGAGCTCTCCCAACTCCTTTGCTTTCCTTTCGCGAAAAAGATTGAAGCGCCGAAATCTAAGAGAGTTAAGGGCTTTCAGACGATCGAGGAAAGGCGGGAGATCGTTTCGGTGGTGGGGCTCTGAGATGTCGTATTTATAGTCGGTGTTTTTTAAACCAGGAAAGCCAACGCGGGCCGCAGGAATATCAGCGGCAGGCCCATGGAAATTCAGCGGGTAAAGTCCAATATGCCTTTCCGAGAGGGCCCATAAGGAAACCCCTAAATCCCCACCGTCAGACCGAAATGGCCCACCCATAGCAAAACAGTGCGGCCAAACCCACGGGGAGCGAGAAACGGGATCTAAAAAACGCCGAAACGCGAAACGTTTCGGTTTCTCAAAACCAAAATCGAAACGCGATAAATTGACGAGAAAGTGAAATTGACGATATATCACGATACGAGAATATAGCGCGATATTTTCACGATACATTGACTTTTCTGCGATATGTTGACCGGGGTGAAATCTGGTCGTTCTTTCTGGGAGCCCTGTTTGTTTCCCGGCCGCCAGCGGTGAGCGACGGCGACGGACTGGCATTTCCTTCTCTGGGCTTCACACCGAGACCCCAGAAAGGTAATTAAGCACTTACACGCCCCACAAAACCACTACTTGATTCGTTATTAATTCTGAAATACTGGCAATCAAAACGAAACGAAAGAGAAATGGCTATCAGACGACCGGTTTGCCCTCCTTCCTGGCATCAAGAGAGAAGGATTGGTGGAGTAACAAGCCACAAGGTGTCGTTTAATGAGAAGTGAATGATTAGATTTCAGCACGTTGAGGTTTCGCGCCGGATCTTACTCTGAGCCACGACAGCTGGCGGCTGGTTTTTGTATTGTTGCTGCAATTTGGAGTAGCAGAGGTGTCCGGCCCGTGATCCCGATGAACAACTCCTTAGTAATAACTCCAACTCGAATTAATATAGGAGATGGATTTTATATAATTGTCTTTACATATGTCTTTTAATACGAAAATCGACTGACAAATTGGGGAGCCGTTTAACATAAATATTTAAATCAACCATGCATTCCTTTGGAAGGTTGTCGAAATTCGCATGAATCAAATATATATGTCATTTAAAATTGTGATATTATACCAACAGCCAAATTATTAAAAAGAGATTCAGTAATTGATATTAAATTGTCTCACGTTATCTGTTTGATAGTTCTTCCAGTGTTGTTATATATGGTTTCTGAACCATTAATGTATTTATTTTATGGCCTAATTGTATGCATGTGTATTCACTATTCACAAGTAAGCAGAAGATCTTTCACACTGTTTTGGTCAAATCTCTCTTTACCATACAAATGAAGGGGGGACATTGCCACCCTGTTTGCATAAATTTGAGGTGAACATGTTGAGGAAAAGCTGGACAAAAAATCTTGGAAGAAAGGACTTCCAAATTTTGTTAAGAGAACCAACAAAGAACACAAAAGTAGGCTACTTGAAGGGACCAAGTTGGGTCCTTTACAGAAATGGTCACCATACTTTTGGTTTAGTAACAAGTGGTTTTCTAAAGTTTAGAATAGTTTTAACATTTTTTAGCCAAAATTACCTAGATTTAATTTGGAGTGTTAACTCACTCAAGTTAATAATGACAAATTTCGCATTAACCCTCCACTTATGCTTTTTGGATTAGTCAAATTCTTTTAGGTAATTTGTTTTCGATGTAATGGGTTATATCATATATGTGTCATCTAATTAATATCTCGTGAGGACATATTCATTATCGACTTGGATGAGGTAGCACACTAACTTGGAAAAGTTCTGACTAATTTCAAGCTTCAGCAATGATCAAGTAGCATGTTAGAAAATAAAGCTAAATAACCAATTGTGTAATTGACCTTTAAAAGAGTGTTGGACGCAAATATAGAGTGAGAGAGAAAAGAAGGGGAAGAAACTGAAAAAGTGTTGCATAGTACAGTTATGCTTCAAAAGAAAAGGATTCACTTCCAGGCAACATGCACCAACATGGCTTTGTTGGGGCCATCAAACAAACCAAACCAATCACTAGGGCATATATACATGCACAAAAAATATAAGATTAGATCTCCAAGGAATTCTGTCAGTTCATAAGGATTGCGGAGCTATAGCAAAGAACATGGTTCCCCCTTCTCTTCAAGTGATTTTTTTTTTATAGTTTCTGAAATGAACACAAATTGAGAGTTCATGAAGAGGTTCCCAGACACACTTCTCATCACAAAGATTTGAACTTTCAAAATGTTTGACTGATTCACAGTGTTCTTTCTTTTTTACTCTAAGAGAAGTGGTTAACAATCATATGGTTTGTTCTTGAATTGATCAAGGAAAGAGATAGCCTAGCCTGTCTTTGATTTGCATGTGGGGTTTTAAGCTTAGCTTGATGGCTAAGTTTTGAGTTCTACTGATGGGATGTAGGGAGGCACCTGATACTATTTTAGTACTTTGCCCTAAAGAAAACTAGCAAAAATCCTTTCTTGATCATCCCTAGCTAGCTAGTCTCCCACCTTCTCCAATATTTTATCTTAAATCTTTTTGCCTTATGTAGCAGATGGGGATTGGAGAACACATTTAAACAGAATAACAGCTTTGAGAGGTATTCATTAAAACTGTGAAAGTAATTCATGATGCTGTATGTATCGGGGTCAATTTTCAATTTAATTAAGGACATAATGGCCTCAAACTCACTCATGCTTAATGAACATGTCATCAATGATTTACATGCCTTATGTATGTTGAAAATTCATTATTTGTTTCTTATTTTGATTCCATTAACCAGCCTCAATTTCGTTAATCCTAATCTAATGACGAATGAAATGTACAAATTAGCATAGACATATGGGTTTGGTAGTTGAATTGAAGGGGAAAAAATACAAAATGGTTAGCACACGTGGCATGTGAGTCATCAAGGATATGTTTACTCATTAAATATAGAATAATCCGATGTCTAACACATAATATTGTACGGAACTTTTATCATATCAGTAATTAAAATGAGCATATAACATACGATGGAGCTGACATTTATTAGAAATCATAATATTCAGGGCAAAGGCTAGCGTACACCTGGCGACTAGCGTACGTTTTACGTATGTGTTCACATTTGATTTTTGCACTTTAATATATTTAGCTTAATCAAAACTGTCGATTATTATTTTTTTAGATTAAATAAATCTTGTGGCTTGGGTTATAGAATTAGGAACTGGAATTCATCTATTAGAGATTAGCTATGGTATAATATTATGTCTCAAACTCCAATTAATTCGCACTCTAAATAGTTGAGAATGGGCATACTCTATATATTTATTTGGAATATGTTAAACGAATCATATGTGTTGAGAGGCTGTTCTTATGGATAGGTTTGAGCAACAGAATATATAATTAAGTGCTAATAGAAAAGAAAGAAAACAAGAGATAAATGTGAAACCCGGGAATAATTTTTTTCCTCAAAGATAACAAAAGAGATGTGTACTTTATGTATAGAGATATTAGATACCTTCTTTCAAGCAATATTTTAGAACCAATTATATACCTCTTTCCCTCTCCTTCTAAAGAGAATAATTGGTATCGATCTCTGACCACTGACCAAAGCACTTACCATATTGATAGGAAGGGCCGTCTGCCCTTATTATTCCTCGAAAGAAACTAAAATAAAGGGATATTTATTTTACAAATGATTAATTAGCATGAGAAATACGACGACGATGATGATCCTTTCGTACATGGTGTTATTCTTGTTAATTAATTGAAAGGTGAGGGCATATTATTTTGACCTTTTATCCAAGGAAGAAGGAACAATCCCCCTCGGAAAAAGAGTGATAGTCCTAACAAGACAGTCCCTTCGAAACATGCTTTTGCGAGGATGTGAAGTGAATGGTCGTAGCAATCATATAGTCATTATAGTGTATAAAAAAACTAATTTCATTCATTTATTTTTCACGTTTTTCCCATGCAAATGAGGGGAAAAATCAAAAGTTATTTTTTTTATTTGATAACCCAAGAACATCAGCAACCCACATGCCACATGAGTGACAACAGAGCCTACTAAACCTGAGGGTACATGCATACTAACCATCAAGGACTTTGTCCCGGCGTAGTGCCCGACGTTGTGCTACCGTTATCGGGGAGACTTCGTCTCCTGTACCACGGGTGCCTCCGGGAACACCAAGAAGGTGATACTGGGATTCGAACTTGAGACCTTGTCACATCCCAAACTCGAAACTCTGTCTTTTTACCAACTAGGTTGTCTTACCATCGGCAAAAAATCAAAAGTTATAAAAAGATAGGTGAGGCACAAATTTTATTGTTCAGAACCTCCTTCTAGACCATAATTATTCTTGATATTAACTATTTAGTATGGGATCGTCATCATAAAACTAGATTCGGTTACTATCAATTATATATTATTCATTTTGTTTTGTTTCCTGCTTTATATTTATAAGGGTAATGTCTATTTTTTATCCAAACCTTTTTAAAATTCTTTTATATTATCCAAACCTATCGAAATACTAAGAATTATCCAAATGTTGATTTTCAATTAGCAATGTTGTTAGTAATATTGACTTGGCAACATGATACTAACTTGGAAGAGACACATGAATGTCAATATTCCAAAATTTTAGTATTTTAACTAAGAAAAAAGTTATAAAATCATTAAGAATGACGTAAAAAAGGCTAATATTTTAATGCATTACAAAAAATTTAGCTAATTAATGGCATTTTAATAGGTTTGGATAAAATAAAAGAATCTAAAAAAGGTTTGGATAAAAAATAGACTATTACCTTATTTATAAGTCCATCGTAAATACGAGGAGTTTTTACATATTTTTCTTGTTGTTCCTAATCCTCACCAATTCGTAGTGATCATCATACTACAAAGGGGAAAAAGTCTTATGGCAAACATTAATGCATCCACCCCTCTCTCCTCTTAGGTGGACTTGTAGTTGCAGGTACTCTTATAAACATGTAAAAAATTAATGTATTGTATGATTGCTCGTTCCTCTTTATTTATGTATTTCCATAATGAACCCACACACTTTGATAATAGATTTTTTTTTATATATATAAAACTTTGACAATAAATTATGGCATACTATAACAACCAAAACAAGGGGGCTTACCAATTTCAAACCTAAAAGCTTGTTGCTTCAATAATGTGGATGACAAAGCCTAAATCTTGTACTTATATGGGAGCTATAGTAGTGCCCAAATGCTGCTACAGGGCACAGGCCAAGCAAGCAAATCCCAAAACAAAGAAAAGGGGGAGAGGAAGAAGGAAAGGAACCCTAAATCTTGGGGGATATATGTTTGTACTTGAATGTGGATGCAAATCTTGCACAGCCATGTGGATTTTGATTCTAGCCTATAACTAGCTATATACCCTTATATCTTTGGGGCACTACCTACCTTAATGGCTAGACTTATAGTTGGAGGGAATAGTATTCAATGTTGGGCCACATATATTAGTTCTTGTTTTCCTTGGACATGGTTCCTCCTCCAAGTTCACACTTTATTTATTCTTCACAAATGCCTCCCTTTGCTTAATTTTGTGTTCAATGGAAAACAACACCCAAATCTCTTAGGGCCCGTTTAGTATTGTTGTCTGCTTTTGTTTCCTATTGTGTTTTTAAAGATTGTAGAAACCAAGGAAAAAAAACTTGTTTAGTTGGGTTTTCATTTTCTGTTGTGAATCAAAGTTGCACAACAAGGCCCAAATAAGAGAAACAACAATTTATTACTTTGGATTTGATTCTTAAACATGTTGCACACGGGATTCCTACTGGTTGGGCACTTGATTTCATTAAAATAGCCTAGTTTTCGAATCCCCACTGAAACAAAAAAATTCTTTTTTTTTAACACTTGTCAACTTTCATGATTTTTCAGATTTATCAACTAAACAGGTTTGTGTTTTCTATTTTTTTCTGTTGTGGTTATACATCTGTTTGCACAACAACCACAACAACAACAAAATGATACTAAACGGGCTTTTTTAGAAACCTATATGGATTATATGTAGTTTAGTTTCTGGGGCACACATTATCTTTAGTTTAATCACTTCAATTAAGTTTCTATCTTTTAGCCCTTTGGACTTAATCATAATTAACAAACCCAAGTAAATATATATAATCTAATGCAATGCAAATTAATTACTATGGATTGTACTAATATAATATTGTTGCTTGTTATTTATTAACCAGATGGTATATGACAAGTTTGTTCGCAAAGATCTTTATTTTGCAATGTATTTAACGTCAATAACAAGTGCTAACTATCAATTTGATATACGTTAGCTACGTATGTACGTACGAATCATTACTTGATTTGTTTAGCATCGTGTCTCGAGTTGCATGCACTTGAGCAACGAATTAACCACAATATACACTACTAAAAACAGCAGTTTTGTGGGAATGATTATTAGAATATGCCTCTGTGCACATGAAACCAACTTAAACTAAGATCAAGTCTGATCAGTTAGCTAGTTTAACTCGCTAACAAAATCCTGTTCATCTAGCTAATTAATCGCTTCCTCAATAAACAAAAGACAAAACAAAAAAGCTTCTTGTAATAGGAAATATAACCAACGAGACGCGGCGGCTGGAAAGTAAAAACCAACTTGCATATGTTGAGCTTTGACAGATGAAAACCAACTTTTTACAGTCAATATTAGCTAATTAATTTTAATAATTAATAAGAAGCCACACCACTATATATACCCCTTCTTGTAGTGTAAAAAATAAAATCAAGCCACACCACTTCACAAAATATTCCCCTTTCTTTCTTCGTTTCTTCTCGCTTCAATGGATTCTCAGCACTATCCCTTCTTCTGCTCCGACTTCAACGTCGACGGCGACGATCAGCTCATCATCAACAAATTCTCCGAGGAAGAGCTGTCGGAGATCATGCTGTCCCTCGTCGCAAATCATCAGCAGGAGAACTCTTCATTAATCTCGATGACTCCCATGAACGCCGCCGCCATGGCCATATCATCGTCGCCATCTCTTCACGACATTCTCAATACGGCGTCGTCTTCGTCGTGTTCTTTTGAGTCTGAGCGCGGTTCACCCCTTCCACCGGCGGCTCGATACGATGGTGTTCATCATTCTTTTTCTCTTGACCGTGATCACGAGGCGATATTGTTCAACAATATTGCGAGCGGGATGATGGAAAATGTTGATGGCGGATCCATAACGACGTCGTTTGACGCGGCTACTTGCTATCGTGGCCAGCAGCCGGCGGCGGCGGCGGCTAATTACGTACGTGCTCCATCGGCTGCAGCAGTCGCCGAGGGGGTTAATTATTACGTAAGCATGCATAAGTGTATACTTTTTGTTTCGTTTTATGGATTATGTTGTTAATTATGATTAGTGAATGTGGTTATGTTGCTTAATTTGCAGGGGACGACGACGACGCAATTATGCAATAATAATAATGCGGACGTGAAGGTTGGGCAGTACACGGCGGAAGAGAGGAAGGACAGAATCCTGAGGTATTTGAAGAAGAGAAACCAAAGAAACTTCAACAAAACCATCAAGGTAATTAAACTTTATAATTAACATCAATGTAATTAAGCAATTGATAATTGTTGATTTGTTTTCATTAATGTTAATAATTATATTTATGTACATAAACATGCAGTATGCTTGCCGGAAAACGCTGGCCGACAGAAGAGTACGTGTGCGAGGGAGGTTCGCAAGGAACAGCAGCAGCGAGTTGTCCGAAGAAGACGTGGTCACGCAGCGGCGGCCATCGGAAAACGACGGACACCAGCATTACTATCACCACCATTACCAAGGTTATTATCTCCAGCAAGAGAATAACCAATCATACAACGAAAACGAGGTCCAGCTGGTAGATAATAAAGCTGCCCTACAGATGATGAGGGAAGGTGGTGGTGGAGAAGAAGAAGATCAATGGCTGCAAGAGGCAATGGCGAGTCTGCTGTATACACCATACATTGCGGCTGGATGACATTAATTAATTAAGTACTATACATTCATATAACAAGGTTAATTATATATACGGCTATATATCAATATTGGTGGTGGGTTAATCAATAGCTAGATAGTTGCTTCTAATTAAGTAGTTAATTATCATTTCATCGTCATTTTGTATGAGTTTTGTACTTTGATGAGTTCTCTAATGTTTTGTACTTCAAATTGTACTTTGATGAGTTTGCTTTTATATTATATATCAAATCGACTGGGTCTCTATCAGATTGTTGTTCTACTAGTATGAGTTTTGTTCTCTGTCAACTATATATAAGTATATATAGTGTCTCCATCGATAAATTTCTAAGTACAGTTTATTCAAGATATGCTTGATAAGGTCTTAATCATCATCGTTCTCATAATTACCATACCAAAGATCAACGATAGATCCGATCATTTTCCCCCCAATAATCACAAGATTTTTACAAGTACCCATTTGTTGATAAGGCAAATTTTAAAAATGATTAGATTGCTGATATGCAAAAAAAAAATACTTAATTGGAAATAGTGATTTGATTGAAGAAGATGTACGCCTGATATATATATTTTTCAATATTTTTTATAGGTTTATAATGTTGACTATATGTTTTGCTCTTCACTATTAAAGATCTTTTAGTATAAACAATAGAGACGAACCAAAACTCATGAAGATGTTATTCAAATGGATTGATCCTAGTTGTCATGATACATAATCTCTATCTAATCTGGCCTTTCGTTATAAAAATGGTTGAAAAAATGTATTAGGTATATAGATAATTGATAGCGAGTTAACAACATATCATTGGATCCTTTATTTCCCATTCATGAAAAAGAAAATACCTTTATTTTCATTTCCCCATTTCCAACTAGGGTTATCTTGTTTCTCAATCATGAGATAGAAGACTGGCTAGCTAGATAATGTATATCAACCTCATTGAGGGGATCAAAATGTGCTTGACTGATGAACTGAATTCGGTTTAGTTTTATGTTTTTTCTTTGTATAGTGCACTAGACAAAAGCATCTTATTCTTAGCAAGCAAAACCAAATTGCTTTATTTTCCATCAGACTGATAGCTGCAGGCTTTACTACCCATTTTAGTTGGAATTTATAAGAGAAAGTGACCGGCGAGAAAAACAAGAGATACCCTTGTAGTTTATGGACAATTCATAGAAATCTATATCCCTTAAATTATGAAGAATTATTACTTCGTAGACTTTATAAGTAAAATTTTAGACAAACGGGTGTACTATTGAAGAAACCCCACTTTTACATTATATACTTGATTGAATTATCGAAATGTAAAAGCTATTTTACATGTAGAAATTTGGGGAGAAAAAAGTCATGATAATTAAACGGTGGCCCAACCAACTCCATTATTGACAATTTAGGGCAAAAGTCTAGGTAGATGGCATCCATATATGTAAGTTAGCCCTTTGTGCAAATGGGGTGTCACGAGCAAGCATTCTTACCATCGTAAGAAAGCACTTTGAGATAACTTCAAAAGCGGATCCAGAATAGGGTAGAACATTGGAAAAGAGATTAAAAGGGTTGGGCCGTAACTCGACGAGCACTAAAATAAATACCTAAAATAAAAAAATTTACAAGTGTTATCCTAGCTCTGAGTCCTGGAGAGGGTTGGACCGTAGCCCGAGACGGCCCCCTAGATCCGCCACTGGATAGCTGATAGCTCTATATAGCTTCATCATATTTGTACTCTTTTATCATTTTCCACATTAATACGTACCATCTACCCCTAATAAAATTCTCTTCCAATTATGAAATTACTTCACTCCACAATGAAACCAAAATTTAAAGTGAGGAGCTGTTTGAAATAACATTGGATCAAATACTCAAATTATACACAGTAGCAAGACTTTCAATGAAAAGGGTTCATAGATCAAGCGAGTTTTCGAGAATAGTACTTTTGTTTTCATTACAAATGTAGGTGGTGGGTGATTGATCTATTGGTCTTATGCAGGCACTTGTGGCTCTAACTACTACTACAGTGATACATATACACCACGTGAGACATGAGCAGTTAGTCATGATAACTCCCTTGTTGGTTTAGCTAGTTACATGCAACAAAGCTCGAGTAGTGGCCTTTCATGGCTAGAAAGAGCTAATAACGTTTAGGTCCCTGGCCAAGCAAATGAAAAGCTAGTGGAGGGAGGGGGAATCGATTTGAAGCCATGCATTCATGAACAACATTGAACACATCCAAATCGACAACGACGTCCAAATTGGAAAAAAAAAAAAAAAATTCTTATCAGGCTTTCATGAGGGCGATATATATGCGTGGTGGTGACCATGGCTAGGCTTATCTTTCGTGGCCCACCAACGAATGTGTGCCAAGAAAATTGGGCCGGTTGGGCCCATCGAATTAAGTTGACCATTCATCTCAAGGCTGCAGAGAAATGAAGAGGTACGGAGACTTGAGAATGGATAGTGGAGTGGAGGGACACTTCCACAGTCTCACTGTTATTGTTGCTGCCACTTAACAGACACCAAAATGAGAAACAAAAGTCAGAAAGAGAGAGGGGAAATTTGTGACTGTGATTTATCAGGAGAACAAGTTATCGTCAAGACTCAAACCGACAATCATGAATGTCAAAGTGTATCGAGACAACCTAGTTACCGGACGACACAATCTTCAAAATGAGAACTGGAACGAAACGAAGCCACATGTGTTACGAATCGACCCTAGCTTGTATTCTGGTTCACCATAAAACCAACATCCGAGATCATATTCATGTTGCCGATGCTAATATGAAAGTCGAGAGTAGGGCTACACCGAGCCACCAATCCCAAGAAAATATATTTATCGATAATACATAGTTGTAAATAAACTCATACAAATATATATATACATATATATATGGTTAATCATTAACCGTCACCATGGATAAATAGGAAGCAAGCCAAAACAAAATCAGAGGGTACGTACGTCTCACTTAATTAAAAAAACACAGAGAGAGAGAGATATATGACTAATTAGTGGCTTATTAATTAATTAATTAAGGAAGTAATCAGCTAGCAAGACCAGAGCGACTCCCCGACGTTAGCCTGATGATTGCTGGAGGCGAGGTGGCTGCTGCTGTTGGGCTCGCGCATCCTGAGCTGGACTAGCTCGGCCTGGGCGACGGCGAGCTGGGCTCGGAGGGAGTCCACTTGTTGCTGCAGCGAGGAGATGGCTCCGACGCAGCCGTAGACAGGGTCGCGGATCCGGGCGTTGGCCTCGTACACCATCGAGCTCACCGCGTCGCTCCGCTGCTGCTCCCCCAACTCCTGATCAACTTTCAATATACCGTTACCACATTGGCAAAAGAAGCACGTACGTACATATACGTTATTGTGATGTATTCTAAAAACTTGCATTCACTTTTAAAGTATGTGTAGTATTGGATGATAAAGCATATATAGTCTTATTTCCTAGCTAATTAGTCTAATTGTGTGGTTCTATAGTTACTCACATGGTGTAAAGTTCAGCCAAGAGAAACAGAGGACAACTAATTAGCTAGTGGCTCTTGCATATATAGTGGATTATTGCATTTTAAGTAGGGGGTTAACATCAAAGTTTGATTTTTGATTTGGTAGTGCAATGAACCTTTTTTATAAGGGGGGCAAAAGACAACCTATCAATTACTATCACTAATCAAAATTGATTTGTCCGCCCAACCCCCCTCGACAAAGCGTGATTATATTTCTTGATTAGCCACTAACACAATTTTCTTTTTAAATATTGTTTGATAAGGACACAATTTTCTTTTTTAACCACTTAATAGCTTTTCCTGTCATGTGAGTGGATTTTACTTTGGGATTGCATGCTTTGATATAGTGATCATGGTGTTGAATAAGCTTTGAAAAGGTTCTGTATAGTGATCATGGTGAGTGGATTTTACTATAATTAATAACCTAACTAATCACGTTTTCAGTTGTCTCTTTTATAGAATACAGAAATGATAGATCAGTGGTTTATGGTCTTGTCATCGTCATTAGTAGAGTGGACAAGAAAATAGACCAAGTCACATCAATATAAAAATTAGTTGTCTGGGTAAGTGACGATGGAAAAATACGTCTTCTATAGTAGCAAATTTTTAAATGTGCATTGTATAGTAAGTCCAGCTATATTTGGCACTTCATTTCATTGATCTAAGAAAGGTAGCTAAAATTGAAAAGTGACACTAATTGTTGACTAGCTATATATCGATTCTCCTTATTCAAACTCGAATTCAAATCCAACAACCTTTAACCTTATGCTATACATCATAATTTAGTGGACTGGGCCATTTTACTCCTAGTAAACAATCTTAACTATGAAAGGACATTTATCTTGTGTCACATCTAAATATATTTGATTGCTCTTTCTTTATGTTTGACTAATGCATGCCCTTGGCAAAGCTTTTTAAGAAACCAATAAGGTGGCTGGATAATGAACGACTTTAACCCTATAGCCTTTTGCTTTAATATCTCTCTTTGTTATTATAGTTTACTATTATTGCTTTGGGAAATTTCGACCATAGGCTAGCATCAGAAAGGGTTTGCCTCCCAAAGTCCAAAAGGCTCCATCACGTAGCTAGGCAGTCAATTGAAGGGATAGATGGTGGCGGTCAAAAAGTATATAGTACAGTTATAACAACTTCTTTGTCTGCTCTCTCGATTAAACCCTTCTCTTTTGCACAATTGTAACATTTAGTATTTCAATTTCGACTATGTTTGTATAAATAAAATATGTGGCAATTCTTCATGCATATTGAAACATTTACATATATACATATCAAAACTCGATATTAATTTTAAAGTGCGATTGTAATCCCTGCTAGACTATACTGTAATGGTTGGCAATATATAACTAACAAGAAATGTTGAGTGGTTGCAAGAATTATTTAACAAATTTTGTCAATATACACTGTAGCTCAAATACAATTATAATGATTTTGTTTTGGGAAAATTTTGAAATAGCACAAAGTAACCTATAGATATGCATAAAGAGCCACCCAGCACAATTGATTATGATAATGATTTCGTTATCTTTTTTTTGGCTTTGTGTACTAGCTAAGGAATCCAAGTGTGGCTGTGGAACCATATTAATCCTTTCTTTCTTTTGTGAACTTTATGCTTGCACGGGAATAGGTTAGAATATTGCACTTCCCTTTACCTATTAGTGGGGTCTGATACCAACCGAAAAACTAACCCACTACAACCGAAATAACACACAGCTGATCACCATAACCATAACCTTATAATCCTCATTATTTATCTGGTGGGACAGCCGTCCCAAACTTTTTCACTTGGTAATTTACTACGTTCATATCTCATTTTCATCCGCACCAAGATAAGTTATTAGGTACTATAAAGATAATAACGAGCTTCAATGAGATTCATGATTATCGTATTAGATGAAATACAACCTATCAAAATATATCCATGCCCTATTTGAAAAAAATTTCACTTGTATGTGTCATTCTCGAATAATTTAATCTCTTGAATCCTTCTTAATTTACGGTGTAAACCATTTTTTAAGAGGCGTTGATATCAATTGGGGGAAAAAATTAGATATGTTATTTGGAGAAGTGGGTGAGAATGACGATCAAGAACTATAATTCGAGAGATATATACTTACCACTTGAGGAATCTGAATGACCAAAATAATCCTGAAGTACTATGAAACTCTGGTAGTAACTTTCAATGTAAGTATACTTAAAAGGCTAAAACACCAACTATATATGCAAATGCGACATAAGTACTAATTATCTTGGAATTTGGTTTGGTATGCTTTGTATTGGTTGGTTTGGACATGCATTTATGTTGATCCACGCTTCTTAGCTTCCTCAACAACACATATCTGTATAAGCATATCGGGTTGATCCTAAGGTTATTGACGAGTAGCTAGCTAGCCAACTGAACCAATTAAACCGACAAAATCGTAGAAAATGAACCACTGCGCGCGTGAAGTGAAAAGTGGTTCGGACTTCGGATTGATATTGTCTGACATCGATCGATCACCAATTCACCATGCGTATGGTATTTGGTAGGGCTAGTGAAAGTAGTTGCATGCCTTATTTGACCCTTACCAAAAACAGTGCAACAAACAAATTAAACCAAGCCGCTCCCTATCTGTGCACTCCATTCCAAACAAAAAGAGAAAGCTGACAATAACAAAGACACAAAGAAAAAGGAAACCACACCAAAGACAAGACAAATTAAGTTGGTTGTATAATGACTTAGCCTTACTTTCCTTGCTTCCAGAATCCTCACCACTTTACCAAACACACACAGTGAGAGAGAGAGAGAGAGAGAGTGAGAGGGAGAAGAACCTGTAGCATCTTGTTGACGTTGCTGGCGCCGAAGACCTTGTGCACGTTGGCAAACTTGTGGGGCTCGTCGGCGGGGAAGTAGGGCGCAAACACGCAGTCCTGAGCGCACCTCCGCCGCAGCAGCTTGCACGCCGCGCACGGCGACAATGCCCCGTTCTTCCTCCCTGCTGCCGCGCTGCCCTCCCTCATTTCTATTTGTCCACTAGAAAAAAGATACAACGTTAAGCACAAGCAAATGTGAAGGAAGATGAATGATAGTCGGTATGAGATTTGTGTTTCCGCAAAAGCAAATGGCTGATGAGAGGGAAATGAGGTTAAGTTGGGAGTTATATAGACAAGAGAGATGAGAGATGTGAAAGAAAGGGGAGGAAATGTGATGTGAGTGAGGAGGAGATCTGTGGAGGAGCCCACGCAAGAAGGCGCCACTAGATCTTGTTGGACAAAAACATCCACACCGCCCCGCCCCACTTCTTTGTCCCCGCCACCTTTCTTTTCCTTTACCATGTTATGTTAATTAACCACCCTACCTACTAATAATCTTTCTTTTCATAAAGATATATATATATATATTAATTAGTCACTCTACTGAACTTTGTTAAGGGACTTGACAACTACAGTAAATATCATTTCGCTGTATGAAAGTGTAGTATAAGGTAGTATAAGCTTTCAATTTAGTACTCTAATCTGCTAACCCAAGCTTTTTACGACATGCATGTGTCGTAGTTAATGAAGAGATATTATATATATATATATATATATATATATATATATATATATATAGATCGAACATATATAATGCAGATCGATCCACCGATTATCCTTGTACGTATCTCAGGTAATCCATACTAGTAAACATTCCTTAACAAATTCCTATCACGACTGTTTTCTACCGATCGGGAAATCGGAGGATTGACAAAGCAAGAAAACGAAAGTAATAAACGAATTAGACACACGGATTCACGTGGTTCACTAACACGATGTGTGCTAGCTAGTCCATGTACAGGAGAGAACCAGTTTCACTATACTTCGAGGAGATACGGATTACAGAGGAGTATGAGAAGTATTTATAGTACTTCTCCATGTGGTCTAACCCTAATTCAATCTGGTAAAAGAATAAGGTTACAAACCAAGCGCAAAACAGAAACCCAAACGTGTGTATAAGCCAATACACACTATGGCAACATAAAATCTGGGACAAATCCAATCGCAGCCAGATAGTCCAATTCAAGTAATATCAACGTATCTAATTTTCTCGTTTTGAGACGATTTGGTCAAGTTTACTCATTTGGCGGCATAAAATTTGGATGAAGCAATTTGACGTACATGGTCGTTTGGATGAAGTATTTTGTGAGTTATTTGGTCATAAATAACTCATTTGGCAGCATTTTTCTGAAATGTGTTATTTGGGCAGTGAGTTATTTACAAAAAAACTCAAAATGAGTTATTTGAAATAGCTCATAACTCGTCTTATCACTCTGCTTTTTTCAAATACCACATGTCAAATACCACTTTTGCATGGTTTAACCAAACGAGATACTTAAATCCAATTACCACTGAAATACCACATGAACAATTAATAAGTTAATTGACTCGACAAATACCACATTGTCAATTATTCCATCCAACCCCTAAAGGATTTCGAATGAACTCGTTTTGGTACAATTAGAAATATCTAGAATGAGAAGGATAATTCAAATTGAGTCATTTAAAATCACTCCTTTTGTAAACTAAGAGAATTGACCAAATAATTTCGGTTTTCCAATTTATTCCTCCAAATTATGTCTCTATTATGGTTCTCTCTCTCCATATGTATAGCTCTTTGTCCTCTTCTTCATGTATATAGTCTCCCCAATATACAAATTGGCTGGAAAAAGATTTGATGAAATATATATTGGTGACCTTTCTGGGCCAGATGTATAGTGCATGCGTGCGGTCCGCTTGTTTTCATTACTTCCTTTCTTTTTTCCAAATAATAATTAATGATTATATATGCATATATTAAACTCAAAGGAGAAGTCTATGATTTTGGCGGTTCCACGCACGTATAATTACAAAGAGAGCACCTGGATTGGATGGAGTAGCTTTCATTAATTCAGCTATCAGTGCCGACTACTGTGTATCGATGTTCTCTCTCGCACACGCGTAATTAGGGGGAAAAAAACTTCTTAGGAATCAATTAAATAGACTGAGAGCAACCGTGGAGCTATGTGTAATTTAATATGGACTATACTATTTGATTTTAGGTTAAAATATGTGGATTACATGTTAAGAAATATTGAAAAAGTGGCATGATATATAGAATTCCAACAATGATCCCCTCCTGCAATACCCAACTTAGAACAAAATCTTGTGGTTGTAATTAGATACGATTATCAAGATTTCCAATGTCTTTTTCTTAATATATAAGTGGTTCCCTTGACCTTTTATACATAAAATATCGTTTTAGTTTTGAACAATCCAACCATAAACAAATGTAGTACTACTGGAGCAATCAATCTCTCAATGTTCTTGGTCTATTGTAAAAGCCTAGCTATGGGGAAGACCTTAAGGAGAGGCCGGCTACCATAGCCATGTGCCATTGTCTTATGATAATCTTGATAGGGTACATGTTGATGATGATGATGATCACACCATAATGTCTTATGATTAGGTTTTCAAGTCTTCATCACCTGTTCTATTACCTTTTCTTATAATTGCTACTTCACTTGTTTTTGTCTATGGCAAAGTTGGAAATGTTTACAATTAGCAAAAAAAAAAAAAAAAAACAACGTCGTTCCGATTTGATTTGTCCCAACTTATTTCGTACATGCATTTTACATATTCGAGTCACGAGGCAACATGACCAGCTAAACACAAGTTTTAACTTCTTATTTCGTTGATAGCTATATGACTAATTGCAAACTGTAACAACGTCAGATAGTTGTACTTTGTATTTAGTTATGTAATGCTCTTTCTTTTGCATGGTAACAACTTGCATGTTTTCACTTTATTATTTAACGAAAATTAAACACTCGATCGACACATTGAAGCGAGACGAAAGAATATGAATATTATGTACGCCTTCTTACTATTGCTATTCTTACCAAAAGAGAATATATAATAAGAATAAAATGTGGTTCTGCCTTCCTTATTGTAATATGTGGAGGAAAGAAAGAGTTCAGCTTAATTACAACATTTTTAAATTTTCTCTGGCTATTATTAATACTAAGTGGGATGATCATGTTGTTGACTGACTGGTTGTCAGATATTGCTAAGAGCTTTCCACACAAAGTATCCATCTCTACATATAAATGTCGATGGATGAAATTAGTTCCATCATATATGTATTAGTGGCAATCTAATTAATTAATTCACTAACCTTTCAAACCTGATAAGATACGCCTGAAAATGAGGGCTATTAAACATCCACCTACATTTTTTCTCTCATCAGAAATTTGCAAAAATTATTAAATTAACATCAACTAACTATTTGATTGATTGGTAGGCATAGCCATAGATTGATTAGTTGAAGATATTTCGCTTCCATCAATTGCAATATCAAGGGTAATTAACCTACCTCGAGTCATTGAAATGAATTGATATTAACATATTATAATGGTAGTTAATTGATATGAAAAAATATGTTTAAATCTTTAATAACCCGAGTATGAATACAGTGACTATCAAAAAATAATAATACTTGACTATAGATTAGAACTTAAAAAATAATAATACTTGTACACTATTTATAATACTCGGCCCAATACTTCATGTTCACGATTTTACTTATCTACCAATAAATGGTGGAAAGTTTTTGTGACACACATTAACCAAATTATATTAATAACTCTGCATTTTACATAAAAATGTGTCTCTAATTACTCATTTTGAGTTTCTTAATTTCTTATCTAGTATCGAATTCTCCACCTTTAAGGAATATATGTCGGAAAATTATTAAAAACAGTCATGACTCATATAAATATTAATAAAATTCATTCATGTATTTTTATTTTTAAATCGAACCCACTTTAAATGAAATTCTGCCTACACCACCGACTACTTCTACCCTAATTCATGTTCTCATCATCTGCATGAGCAATAGCATTTTGTAACTAATCCATTTTCAATTGCCTGTTCGAATTAGCACCACACGTTAGGGGTGGGCAACGGGACGGGACGGGATACCCGTCCCGTTTGAAACGGGTACCCGGTCCCGTTTGGAGACCAAAGTCCATCCCATGTCCCAAACTCGTATGGGTAAACGGGTACCCATTACCCATACGGGACGGATAACGGGTACCCGTACTACCCAAAAATACCCAAAATTTGGAACACTAAAATTTTAACAAATCTTTTTTCTCTATTTGCAACGTTCGTGTAGTTTACAATGGCATCCCCAATCTGGGTTTTCGTGTAGGTGCGGCATGCGGAAGGCGTCCACAATGTTGCAGGAGCCAAGGATCATAGCGCTTTGATGTCTCCTGAATATTTTGATGCTCAGCTCTCCTCGCTTGGATGGCAACAGGTGAGTTAAATTTCCACTGTCGAGAAAGAAAGAAAAAAAGACCCAAGTTTCCACTTCTGAATATTATCCCCCCTCCCCCCCTCGGTTGGATTCTGAAGCTCTAGGATTGAATCGTGTTTGACAGGTTCAGGATTTGAGGAATTACGTGGTTTCATCTGGGATCCTTGGAAAAATTCAATTATTCGTCACCTCTCCTCTCTCGAGGTTGGAATTTCTTGGTTTTCAGTGTGCTCTTCATTTTTTTGGGTTGATTGTGATCAAGAATGGATCGGTTTTGGCAGGACAATGGAAACTGCAGTCAGGGTGTTTGATACAAAGCCCAACAGAGCAAGTGTACATAACGGTGGTAATGCTGAAGAAATATCAAATGTTAACTACCCACCAATATTAGCGTATGAACTTTGTCGAGAAAGACGGGCTTTCTGCATTTGCATCCTTTGTATTTTGAATGGGTATAACAAGTACCCATATTACCCAAACGGGTATTCGCGGGTAACCCGCGGGTACCCGTTGGAGGAATGTACAATCCCAAGTCCCATCCGTTAATAATATTACGGGTAATACGGGTACCCGTAACCCTCAAAAAATGGAACGGGTACGGGTATACCCAAATACCCGTTTCCCGTTGCCCACCCCTACCACACGTTATAACTGGATGGGGATAAAGATATATGTTGAACTTTGATTATGCTTAATCGAGCGGCTTTGCGTCTAATCCTATAGGTTGTAGAAATGGGCTGAACTGAAGATTAATATAGGCCAGATAATTTGGGCTTTGCTTGTAA